CGACGCACTGCGCTGGTCGCGATAGAACTGGCGCGGTACAAAATCGCTATTGCGCCGCTCAGTAAAACTCGGCTCTCTGAGCAAAGTAAGTTGCATGAAGCTGGAGGTGGCTATACGTTCTACGGGGTGGGAAACGCCACCTCAGCACCGTGTGAACATGGGGTCGGATTTGCAATATCCGGTCGCCTAAATGGTCAGCTCGTTGGTGAACCAACAGGCATCAGCGCGCGACTGATGTCTGACGCCAACGGCTCGAAAGAGTTAATTTTCCCAGTTTTATTAACACTTAAGGTCCGAATGTATTATCCTGATGACATGCATGATCAGTTCTACTCTCAGCTATCCTCCGTGATACGGTCTGTGCCGAGGAGCGACCGACCACTTCTATTGGGTGGTTGCAACGTACGTGTTGGGCAAGCTGCATCTGTGTGCACAGATATTATGAGTACGCATGGCACTGGTTCAGCGAATGCGAACGGTGACAGGCTGCTCTCTCTCTGTACCTCTCACTGCTTGACGATCACAAACACTCGGTTGACACTGAGTACGAGTGATATAGCAACTTGGACGCACCCACGGAGTAGTCACGCTCACCTGCTCCACTATGTCATCGTACGTCAGCGTGATATGCGTGAAGTGCGCATGACACGTTTACTGCGTGGAGCTGAGGGTGACACTGATCACAAGTTGGTGCGGACCAAACTGTACATATATTTTCGTAAATCTATGTATTGCACTCCCGCAGTGAATCGGCGTAAATTTAACATTCTCTCCCTCGGTACTGTGGCGAAACGTCTGAGCTGGAGAAGGTGATGGCTACACGCCTGTGTGATGTGGAATGCTTAGGCCCAGTGGCCGACCTGTAGCACCACACTCGCGAACAGGGGATAGCCACTGCCGACGAGACCATCGGGTGCGCAAACTCTAAGCTGCCTGACTGGTTTAATGTGAACAGTGCGACGATTGGCGCAGTGGTGTCGGAGAAGAATGCAACATTTCTGCACATGTCGCAGACCCCAGTGAAGTAGGGAAGAATATTAAGTTACGCAGAATTCGACGACGATTGACCCGAGAGCTCCGTTGTATTAGAAATGCATGGTGGACAAAAAGCCAGAGCAAATGGTATGCTACGCCAGACGTCGAAAACACGAGGAATTCTTTGACTCCTTGAAGGCGGTGTATGGACTGAGGTTGAAGCCATTGATGAAGCTAATCGATGGTAGTCCAGACGCTGCCAGCACACAGACTGCAGACATAATGCAGATCTGGTGAACTCACTCCGACCGTCTCTTGAGCAACCGTTCGAAGACTCACTGGCCCAAATTAAATGACCTAAAGCAGCACGAGGTGAAGGTGAGTCTGGCGGACAGGCCGACAGTGGATGAGACGCAAAGGGCACTTGCTCAGCTGCGAAACTGCAAGTGAACCGGTGCCGACGGGATCCCGCCTGAAGTAGTGAATCACGGTGGAACCGCGTTGGTGACTGCGCTGCACCAGTTGGTGTAACGCGTGTGGATTGAGGAGTAGGTGCCTTCTGAGCTGAAGGATACTCTTGTGCTACCACTGGCGGAAGAGCAATGTGGATTCGGTTCGGGTCGCAGTACCATCGATATGGTGTTTGCGGCTCGTCAGTTGCAGGAGAGTTGCAGAGAACAACACCACCCGTTGTGCTCCCTGTTTGTTGCTTTCACCAAAGCATTTGATACGGTGAACTGTGAGGCAATGTGGCTGGTATTGGTTGTCTGAGTATGTTTGTTTAATTGAATGTTTGCACAGTGTATGCGGGCGAGGGTGCAGCTGAGTGGACAGACCTCGGATGACTTTGCGGTTATCTCTGGTGCGAAGAAACGATGTGTCTTAGCTCCTGCCCTGTTTAATATTTATCTTCATACCATGATACCTTGTGCGTTTGATGCGGCTTGTGCTTACGGTGCTCGTGTGGCGAACCGTATTGATGGTGGATTGCTGACCATCCGTTGTTTCGGTGCGACATCCGTAGTCTGTGAGACAACATCCGTAGGTTGCTGTTCGCTGACGACTGTGCGTTGTTCGCACCAACCGCAGATAAGTCGCACAACATGACAAGTGCTCTGGCTCCGACAGCGTCCAAGTTTGAGTTCATCGTTAACATAAGTAAAACAGTCTGTCACTCCCAGCTCTCGTCGGAAGTGCGAGTTCTAATGGTGTCGCATTTCAACATTGGTGATGACGTATTGGAAACCACCACCCGCTTCTGCTACCTTGGGAGTGTGATGTTGACTGACCAGCAGCTACACAGTGAGCTGTGTGTCTACGTCTCGAAGGCAGCTTCGGCTTTCGGGAAACTTGAGTACTGAGTGTGAAACAACCATTAGCTTACTGTTGGCACGAAGCTAATGGTGTACAAATCCATGGTGCTGTCCGTTCTTCTTTACGGCAGTGAAACGTGAACGTTGTACCGGCGGGATGTGTGATATCTCGAGCGGTTCCATCAAAAATGTTTGCAGCAGATTCTGCGCATCGGATGGGGCGACAGAGTTGCGGACACGGAAGTGCTGCGCCGAAGTGGAATGTATTCAGTGGACTGCTTACTTTTGCTGAGACACCTGAGGTGGCTCGGTCATGTGAGCCGTATGGAATCGACGCGGATACCGAAACGACTATTATGTCATCAGCTGAATATTGGGAAGCAGAATGCGGGGAAACCAAAGTTACGTTGCCAGGACATGATTTCAAGTCATGGGAATGGGAAACGAGTGATCGGCGTGTGTGGCGCAATCTGATGACGAAGGCGGATGTCGAGATGCGGGATAATTCTCTCGTGCATGTAGAGAAGAGTTAGGAAATCGCGGAAGCGACAGTTGCCGATGGGTTGTACTCCATCGACGTCCTGCGAATGGTGCGGTAGCACACTCGGTCGCGATTGCCTAAGTCAGTCAGGCCTAGTGAGCCATGATCGAGGCCACTCGGGACCACTACCGAAGCGACGACGGGTCCTGCAGAGAACGTAGGCAGAACCGGCGCAGCGTTTGTAGGTACGTTTCATTCGATTTACTAACCGTGTGCTTGCGTGCTGAATCGCTTTAGTTCAGGTGGTGTGTTTGCTTCATTTCCTAATGCTTCTTTTTAATTTCTAATTAATGTTTACCTGATCCATGTTCTATAAACTCGCACACGTCGCTGAAGCCAATTGCAGTCAAGTTCGATAACAATTTCGCATTGTGGCATTTCCTTAAATTATATTTTCTGATCTCTTGAACTTATCGTGGATTTGTTCGTAACCAATTTATTACACACGCGCCTTACGTGAAGGGTTACGTCCCCGTATCTGTATGCATTCTTGGATTTATTTTATTTCAGCTTGTCGTTTCAAGTGATCGGATGTTGCTTGATATTCCCGGTGTGGCTGCGCTTGATGTGTATGTTGACAAAGGGCCTACCTCTCTACTACCCACTACCTCGTGCATACTGGCTCCAGTAGACGGTTGGTCACTACTGGAGCGGACGGGGTGCACGGTCCATGTGGTTGTGCTAGGCTCGAAGAGTGGTTCCATGCAGTCAGTGTGGAGCGGACTACGGTCCAGCCACCGCCTTGTGTGCACTTGATTCCCCAAATACAGCGTGCTTGTGTTTGCTGTGAAGGAGTGTGGGCCGGCTCAGCTGATGAAATGTGGCTCCCATCCGCATGCCTCCCGGTCTTATTCCTTCGGTTTTACACTGGATATGCGGTGTGTGGATGGAGCTGTGGGTGGTACAGCGCAAGTCACACATGGTCATTCTGTAGGCGCAGGCGTCCTGTGGCTGGCCACAGTGACAGGCAAATCCGAAACCGCATTCTGACAACCATGTACATAAAGATTTAGGTTTTAAAACAAAAGACCGACAGCAATTTTTCCGCCAAATCTCTTATTGTGTACGGTCAGTTTGAGCTCACCACTGTCGAGGTGGCAAATGTTCAGACCCCGATTTGTCCAGACGACGTGTGTTGTCTGTAGTAATTCCTTCTGCAGCATCTGTATATTTTGGCCGCGTCATTGACCATGTAAGTTATCGGTTAAAATTGCACTCCAAAGTGGGTCCACTATCGGCAAATGCGCATGACCCATGCAGCGCGAGTACTTCAAGGTTAGAATGTGGCCTACTGAGGCTCATTCTCCATGAGTATTCTCCTATTGATATTCCAATCAGAGTGTACAGCTTTTCAGAGATGCGGGTGTCAAAATGGACGATGAGTTCTATGCTGCTAGCGCACTGCATCCATAAACGAGTTGCACGAGCGACGTTGCTGTTGTTCATTACGTGGTTTGCATTGATGATTAAGCTCCTGAGATGAATGAGTGTTTGGTGCGCCGGACGCCGCGAAGGTAACCTACATCACCTTAGACAGTGCCAAATTAACTTTTCAAGTTTGCCAACGCCAAGATAACTAGTAGGCCTTCAGTCGCCCCTGCATGTATTAGTGAATCATCTTGTGCGACACCGAAGATGAGTTTGTGGATGGCATTTAAATGGTTTACGTTTTGCTGTAGTTCTGTGTCAAGCTCTCTATTACTCGTTTGGCTGCATGGAAGCTGTCTTTATTTCGTAATTGTATGAAAACCAGTTAACAGTACGAACTATTGATGAGCTGTTGTTACTTTTATTTACGACGCCAATGATCTGCTTGGGGTATAAATCGCCTAGCTGCGTAGAGACTATCCAAGACTGGTTTGTTTGCTGATCAAGGGCGATCGCTAGACTACGACATAGATCCCAAGCTAGGCATACATCCATCCGATACCTTAGTGTGTTACTTTTAAAAAGTCAACTTCGCAACTGCTATCTTTTTGGAGCTATGTGATGTGAAGATTTTGGCTATCATTCAATGCGAATCACACAAAAAACCTATCTGCTTTCATCAATCCCAAAAGCGTGCTAAACACGCCATTTTCAAGTGAAGCGGATTCAAACCATTGGCACAAGTACCGTACGGGAACAGATGTTAGACACTGGCTGCAAAAGCGTAAACTGCATGAACTCACCTGGGGTGATCTCCTATCAAGCACAGCTGGATCAAATGAATAGCGTTCCGGATACAAGCAAAGTTGCTCATCATCTAAACCCACATCCAAAACCGACGGATATCCCTCCAGAAACTGAAGCATCAGAGGCGGGTAGTTGGAGATTAGGAATACTCGTAGCTGTCTGAATACGGGAAGCGATGTACTATCACGAATCGCGACCCGCAGCTTCGCTTCGTAAAAGCCTGGAGATAGACGGTTTGCAGGAATCCGGAGAACTAAATTAGTCGAACTTGACAAATCGCTTATGTTCACTTGTCTCATTCTCCTCAATGAATCCTGGTCGACCTCAAATAGTGACCAGCTAAGGGAATGCTCTGCATGGTGCTTGCATTCTGGTCCGAATGCGTATGTTTTTACAGTCACCGGCTCATCGGAACGGAAATTGAGTGGAGAAGATGCGGAAACCATTGTGTAAATAGCCGGTTTGATCTCAGGTGTCACACATTGCTGCAGAGTCACTGTGATGGTGATGTTCTCTTGGAGGAGATCCGATGGATTTTTTGCTATGATGGTCACGTTCTTCAGTCCCGAGTGGTTATACTTCACATTAACGTCCATGATATTATTGATGGGCCTGCGTAGAACTGGAGTGAATGTGGGACAAGGTCCGCAGTCATGCGCCGTTTTGCCATCCGCAGGAAAAACCACTGCCCCATCTAAATCATCCTTGTCAACGCATATGCAAGTGCTTAACGAAACTGCTTCAAAGTGGACACGAACAACTCCGGCTTCACCAGGCTTCAGCGAAGTGCTATCCAACAGGTGCGCACTGAGACCGCGCAAATCAGTGGTGATGTGGACGATTTTTACGGCATTAAGCTGACTGAAGGGATTTCTTGCGACAGCTGTGATTTTCACACTTCCAGGCTGAGGGATTTCGAAGCAAATATATAAAATGCCAGTTAGTGCGCATTAATTGCTCGAAATTAGGACATAAACGTGCATTTGTCGTTTGCCGCATAAACAACTTCCTTTATATTACCATCGTTTACTAAGATGTTAAGGTAACATAGTGACCATGGACCTGGAAGGTACAAATTCTGTCTGTAAAACAAACAGCGCTCGTAAGCGCCTGAATATTGACAATTGAATCATATTGTTCACTAGATCACTGTTACGAGGATGAGCCCATGTATACATATCGATTTATGTAAGTAAAGTCATAGGTAAGGACATGGCGTGTTTGCATAACGGTGACAATTGTGATCCATAAATGCTTTCACACAAAATCGTCTGATATCAGACTCTGAGGTGAGGAAGTGAAATTCGCCACCAAGATCCATCTGGTGCTGCTTTGGTACAAGAGAACGAGGCTAGTGCATTTAAACAGCAGTCCTAAAATGCCTATGCCACGGTGATTTGCACAAGACACTTCGCGAACTCCCATAGTGAGAAGTCTGAGTTCTGGTAGACGAGTATTATCAGTTTTCCCCACGTGTTTCTTCTTCCTAGAGAGAGCCCGAGTATCCGCCGATTAGTTCTGACTCACCTCAGTGAAAAAGGCGATCAGTCAGGCGGCCAAGCTAAGTGGTTACGGTAAACCTTCCGTTTCTCTATTGCCACTCCTGGGCATTTTGTATACACTTTCGTACTGTAAAGCAGCTATTAGCCGATGAAAATTTAGTTTGTGCGGGAAGGTGTTCGGCCGTGAGCAGTGGAGAAGCACAACTGACGCATAACACAACCGTTAACGAGAAATATTCTCCCTCTTATTCAATGTGAAAGAAACTAACGGAATACTTTTGTATCTTCTCTTCGTACACAATGTTTATCTAGGTAGATAGTCAAAACACATAATTTCAAATTGTGTGTACTAGGGTAAACATACTCTCGCTTGCATAACCAACAATCAACGATCAACATCTTTCGTTCACTATGTAGTGCATGACTATCAGCAAAAATAATAATTCTTTCAAGCAAAGTTCTTGCCTGTGTACATAGGGATGTATATTATCACCTAGGCACATCGATATTTGCTGGAGCAAATAGGTGCAACTGAAAGCGTTAAGCCATATTTTATGGCGAATCATAAACTATGGAAAAAAATTGAGAACGAACAGTAAACTTCCGCTAAATGTCAATGGTGTCACTTCCGAAGAATTTACGGTCATCTGTTGACCGGCAGCACCTTAGTTACTCCCGCGCTTATCACTCAAACGGGCCTCGCCTGTATCTACACGAAAGCACAGGGCCTCATGTCCAAACTTCCGAAGCTCCACTCCCGACTTCTGTCAACACCAGCGGACCTAATAGCCATAAGGGAAATGTGGCTCTCCGACGACATAACCAACGGTGAAATCCAACTTCCTCACACGTCAGTTCTCCGCTCTGACCGCGCAACCCCAGGTGGCGGTGTCGCACGGTACTATGACATCTGTCTCAGTTGCAGCATGTTAACAAACACTGCCCTCCAGTCTCCAGACACCATGTGGTGCCAGGTCGTACTAACCGCCAAACACTCCAGCTATCTTAGTATCATTTACCGCCCCCAAACAACTCCCCCGAGAAGGATGCACGACTATTGTACGACGTCCACCTTAAGTTATCACACAAGCGCGCACACTTTCACTCTGTCCCGTCTACTGACTCCTTTCCATCAGGCCTAATTGATCTTCTTCACACGACCCCGTTGTACAATCACACGTATCAGCCGACTAGCTTCCGATCCAACAACCAACCATCTCTGCTAGACCTCGTCCTCACTTACGAAGAACTGATGGTTGAGTACGTTGAGTATGATGCCCCTTTGGGGATTAGCAACCACTGCGTCTTCTGTTTCGATTTTATATGCTTCGCCGAAAAAACCGTCAGCACGCCAACTTATACCAAACGCTGGACTGATTACGGAAAGTTGAACCTTCTCATTTCCGCTAACAGCTGGTCACCCGTGCCCCAATCGAGTACCGACAGCGTGTGGTCAAGATTTTGCCTTACCCTACATGAACTCTGCTGCACTACGACTATCTGCAAAGAAGTTTCCATAGGAAAGAGACGCCCAGCACTCATCCAAAGTCGTACACGGAAGTGGATTGCCTCCAGGGACACGGCATGGAGAAACTATCGCTTCCATCCAACGGCTACTCAGTGTGAATATTACCGATCCATCCGTAACCAATTCGTCCATCTTGTACAAAAAGATAAGAGTGAGCATCAGCGTCAGCTTATGCGTAAATTTTCATCCAATCTCAAAGCCTTGTATAGTCACGTCAACAGTCTTCGACAAGTCAAGCACGGTGTTACCGCACTGACGACCCCCACAGGGCTCTCGAAGTCAGCGAACGAGGCAGCAGAAGTTCTGTGCCAGCAGTACGCATCCACATTCTCCGTTCCATCAATGCATACAACGATAGTACCTTCTACGGTCTCATCCCCAACTTCCCTGACGACTGTTCATTTCATTCCGGAGAAGGTCCTGGCGAAACTCAAATCCCTGCGGATTACGGCCTCTCCTGGCGCTGATGGTTTTCACCCAAGGCTCTTGCGAGCGTGCGCTGCAGTTTTAGCTTTACCCCTGGCAGAACTGTTCACCTACTTATTCTCGCAAGGCGAAGTTCCCAATGATTGGAAATGTGGGGCTATTACACCAATCTACAAAGGCGGTACCCGCAAAGATCCGGCCGATTACCGACCGATAACTCTCCACTCTACGATCTCCAAAGTGATGGAATCGATTGGCGCAGATGCATTAATGGACCACATGGAGGCCCAGAAACTGCTCTCCGATTGCCAGCACGGCTTCCGGCGGCAACGGTCGTGCCTGAGTAACCTGCTACTAGCCTGGACGACTGCTGCCGACACTAACCGAGAAACGCATGTTATATTCCTGGATTTCGCCAAAGCCTTCGCCAAGGTCGACCACAACATTCTACTACAGAAACTATTGTCGTACGGCGTTTCAGGGGCCTTGATGGACTGGATCCGGAATTACCTTCAAGACCGTACCGTCCAAGTACGCGTCGACGGAGCGTTGTCTCCCCGCATCCTTGCCACAAGCGAAGTTCCACAAGGGTCTGTTCTCGGACCGCACCTCTTCCTAGCCTTCATTGATGACGTCACACCGAAAGTGGAGTCTTTGCTGCTGCTATATGTGGATGACGCGAAGCTGTGGCGTACAATTAACCTTCCGGATGATGCCCACGCACTTCAGATGGACATCGACCGTCTACATCAGTGGTCCATAGAAAACAACCTTCCATTTAACGCTTCGAAATGTCACGTCCTTTCTACCCGCCCTTCCGCTTTTTCTCCTGTATATTACCTGGGAGCGTCTATCCTCCAGATCTCTTCAGCCGAAAGAGACTTGGGTATCATTACCCAGACCAGTCTTTCCGAATCCACTTCTGGCCGGAAAGCAGCTGCTGCTGCTAACCACATGGTGGGATTGCTGAAACGAGCCTTCGGTCAAAGTAACCCTAGCAATTTCCGCCTCCTCCTCAACGATTTTCTTCGATCCCACTTGGAGTTTGCTATTCAGGTTTGGAGCCCCTAATTGTTGAAGGACCAACACATACTCGGAGCCCCACAACGTCGAGTAACAAAACTGGTCCGAGGTATCAAGCATCTGGATTATCCAAAACGACTTCACTGCCTGGGCCTCTACTCGCTTAAGTACCAACGTCTACGGGGCGACCTGTTCCTTGTATTTATGATCTTATCCAACCCTGGACATCCCAGTCGCCACCTACTCACACTGCACCAATCGTGCTCCCAACTAGGTGGCCAACCACTGAGGCTCACGCATCAGCACAGTCGGCTGAACTGCAGACGACACTACTCCGCTTTGCGAATCTGCCGACCGTGGAATGCTCTGCCTGCCGATTTAGTCTTGGCACCCAATGTGGCGGATTTTAAAACTCACCTGGACTGTCATGTGGCCGAGCTGCACCGCAATATTCCCTGAGATAATTGCCTCCTACTTGATGGAGTTTCTTTCCTTTTTTTCATCCACCTACTTCCTTTTCATAGCCGTTCGGAGGGCGTGATGGATGTCACGCTTTGAGCCGGCGTACATTCTGTTTAAATGCCGCATAAGCTCGGTGAAGATACGGCTAACACGCGAGTCCAACCCGCTCTAAGGTTGCTTGGCCTTTTATTAGACCCGACCCGAATTCTTTTCACCCTATGGGTCATGTAAAGCTAGAGCTTTTATTCCCATTAAATACAATGTTCCAATGTTCCAATGTTCATGGTCATTACATGTCATTGCGAACTGTCCACTACTGTCTAAATCATAGCCAGGTAGCATTTGTCTTAGATTGCAGCCCCTAGGAAGCAAACTTAGAGAGCCCCAAATCATTAACCGCTTGTCAGTCTAGCACAAGGTGAAATTGGTGTCAAGTGGCTCGCATCGCAAACTTTCTGTTGATGGCCTAACTGAGTAGGGTTGATCGCGATCAACGGCTGCAACGCATAATTGATGCGTCTACTGTAAACCTTGATTTGGGTTAAAGACACTACTGATGACGCAGATTTTAGTCTCCACGATACTGGAAAGAAATAATTCAAGTTAACCTCTGTGCCTCCTAATGGTTAATTAAGAAACTGCAGGTTAGATCTATTCTTTCCAAACAGGCGGTGTAATTTTTGTGTTTCTGCTTTGAGGTGAGGATTATCTACGCCAAGAGTTTTGATGGGATAGGGCAGCTGTCCAACTAGAACAGTGAATAGATTGAATAATTGGTGTTACGCTTGACGATAGTATTCTCCTAAGGAAACACTTTACCTTATTGAAAGTGTAGAGGATGGTGCTTCCCTTCGTCCAGCCCAGGGACATTTTGTAATTCCCGTCGGTATACCTGAGGTCAAAGTTGGATTCAGCAATATTGCTCCTTTCAGTTCCTTCAGACAGAATCGTTATCCTGAGCACGTTTCCGGCTGCGAAGCGATCCTTCTGTGGCCCGTAACCTGACTCTTCCGTGGACGCCACCACAATCTCAATCTTCACCACAGTCATACGATGAAATACACCGATCTACACGGAATAGAAGAAGCAGCAAGGCGTACACATATGGCACTGTTTCAATATACAATGCTTCATGACGGTACTTGAAGAGCAATTGATAATTGTTGTATTTGTTTGGTAGTGTTATCCAAACTAAAAGAAATAACGTGCTGGGATAATAGTACGAATGCGAATGAGAATACTCAGTTTCATTTTATGAGCACAAAATTACCATTTTTCAGATCTCCGGTAATTCACAAATTGTGGTCTTAGTACTGTGAGTAAGTTGCTCATTCAAAGATTGTCACATAGCTCGGACCTAAATTGATCAATGTACGTTGGAAAACGTTTTCATGTGTTTTGTCAAGGTGAGATCTTTTATATAGGACGTAACCGCACTGACGAATTGTCTGCTGCAGTTGCAGCCAGCAACAACCTAGATACCCAACAGATGGATTGGTAAAATTTATGCTATTAAGCATTCAGCACCGTTAAACATAGCTTTCAATTCGATGGTTTTGGAACTAGTTCACACCGGTACCTTGACCACCTACTGCCTGTGGACCATATTGATACAGTAGGTTACATCAGGACACAAGGGGATACGTGAACGTGAAGCAATTTACCATTTTAATAGATTAGAGGATAAACAACCTAGTGTAATTTACCACTTAACTACAACAAGACCATGGAATAAAAAAAACATGTTAAACAATCAAACCGTCTCTCACTCTAGTATATGTACAAGTATACGCATCCACAACTTGAACATCTAATCTCAAATACTGCCGTCTATCTACGATGGAAATGGCTAATAACACGAAGTTGCTCCTCAAATGTCACCAAGGTGTGAGCGAATAGCAATACACCACTCAGAGGACACCAGCTAAAGCTGGCCACACAATACAGCCGGTTGAAATGCCGCCGGAATTTCTTTCCCTTCGTGTATGTGAACACTGGGACGCTCTTCCCACATACGTTGTTTCTTCCCCCACGCTATCGGTATTCAAAAGACGTCTGGATGATTCGCTTATCCACTTACATTACGCTATATAATCAGAGATGTCCACGTCAAACGAACGCGAAGAAAACGGTGCTCATTCTCAGCTTTTGTGCTTAACTATTTACACAATGCTGTTGTGGAATATAGTTTCGGATATATTACAACTGCATTCATCAATTTACCCCAGTCCAAGAAAGCGGCGCACGAGTAAGCGTTGTCGTTTCTTTTGTTCTTAAGACATGCCTTGCCCATTTTACTTCCCATATTACTCTACAGTAACAATTCAGTACACATTCTACAACGTTTCTATGAATAAGGGGCACTTGAATTCACTAGACGCTTAAATTGATGAATTACACTTATGTTTACTTTCACTTCAACCATCCTACGGGACTTGTAAAGCAATGCTTTTTTACCTGTAATATATCATTGATCATTGAATAACAGCTCGCCTTTGACCCTTAATTATGGCTACATGCCAAAATCACATTCAAAGTTGAGCAATGGATGAAAAGAAACGTTTATTTTTTGCCCCTAAGAAATGAAGAGATACCGGAAAATTCTGTAGACCTGTGGATAAATCCTTTACTGTCTAGTGACAGCTGTTTCACCCATAATTCATGCAGTAAGTAGTACTTACGGTGTCTTCCTGACGATATCGGCTGACTCCGTTCTCCAAAGTAGCGGTAACGTTGAAGTAGTTCAAACTGGTCTGTACGTGTGAGATCTTCAGAGGTAGGTCTGCCAAAGTCACAGAGCTCTCACTAGCCACGCTGCCGTCGCCCCAGTCAATCAAGCAAGTCACATCATCTGGGAATTCGTCGGCAGTGCCACTGTACTCCACGAGGGCTGACACAGTCCCTGGGCGGGAGAAATAACGCAGTCAATGGAATATGATTGGCGTTAATGGGAAAAGATGGGCGCCTCATGACCAATGAACAAATTTTCCAATAAAGTCCCCAAAGTCAGAACATTCTGAAAACTTTGTTCACCTTAGTTCACGTTGACAAAATACTTGAGCTTCACTGTATTTCTGATCTAGTTCGTTCACACGAATCAGTCGCTCATACACCCATCGCGTTTATCAATGGATGTCACATGATTACGCCCCATGCTATTAGACATAGAAGATACAGCCGCTTTGGAATGTAAATCGTTGAAAATGTATGTAGCGACGAGGCCCAACTTATGTGGTACAATCACAAGCAATCCGCGTGCTCCGAAAGGCATTAAACTCACGTCATGGACTGACTGCCTATGATCCTTATAACCAAGTTAGTCATCCGCAAACAACAGCTAGTAGAAACTGGCCACAAGGTACCTCAATTGTGCTGGTGCTGAAATGGAAACATTAGCTGGGAGCTAGATTTGTCCTACTTTGAATCGATAGGATAACAATCACTCGAACGTCCGTGTTAGGCTCATATGTCTGTTTGTGGTCTCACGGTCTCTTCTGAGGGAACAAGTCACTTTCGTTATGCTGTCTGTCTTCGTTGCAACATTTCACTGATTCAGCCCGCATTTTTAAACAGTATCGACAACAACTTGATTTTCAATTCCTGTCTGTGTGGGAGAATAGCTAGTAGTCACAAAACTGGGCTGGTGGTTGCCTCGACAGTAACTCAAAACTCGCTGCAACGAATCATATACCAGTTTTCAAATTTGCCTAGAAAGATGTGAAGTGAAAAAGGCAATTCACAGGGATGTTGTTGCCACATATGCATTGGTGATGTTGTCTATACAAAGCGAACATCATAAGCAACACTGGTTGGGAAATGTACGTTAGTAGTTACTGAAAAGAGAATAGAATCCGGAGCAATAACACAACCGTGGGCTCGGACAATTTCCACAGGGTCCCGATGGTGGTATTCGGGAAATGATTACCAGACGTGAACTAGCCCTTTGAGCAGTCATTGCTGGACTGGTAACTAACCGAGTGTGGGGGGCTACACAAATTAATCAACCGAGTATTTTGAGTCAAACCAAACTGACATGTTAGTGATCAGATGAACAGAACGGATACAAGGTTGCAACTACAGCCGACATTAAGTGAAGTCTGATATTGTACACATTTGACTTTAGTAGACCAGTCGTCATCCCGATAGGATCAAGTGAACTCATGAAAAACACCAGCAAACCATCAAACCTACTCCTAAGGTACTAGTAGTACGAGTAAAGGGGTCAATGTTTAAGATATGGCATTATTCATGATAAGATAATAGTGTATTGTTTCGGTATCAAAGACTTCAGGCTCGTGAGTGCAAATTCTCCTCTTTATATATATCATGAAGAGTGCACACTACTCAGCTAATCGGGCTGCGACTTAGGCGTTGTACGCTTTCCGGGACTTTGCCAAATTTTGTAAAATGAATGCACCATCACTGATTCCAGATAGATAACAGGATGGTAAGCATGCAGTGAAGATTGTCAGCAGAATTTTAAGCTCAGCCCATAAGACTAATCTTACGCTGCCAAGATTAGGCTGACTTGATGCAGGAGTCCGCCATCTTTGATTGTTGTGTGCACGCAGTGAAAGCACGACTGAACATTGCAAAAATATTCACTCTATGCGTGTTAACTCTTTGAAAATTATCAAAGGATCATTTACGAAATACTAACCATGACAAATACCTAATCGATATAAATTTTGCTTGGAAGATACAATCACAGAAGAGTAGTAGGGGGAGTTGAATGGTACAGGTAAAAATTCGTCACAGCTAGACTCACTCAGACAGTCGCCACACACCCGTAATAGCACTGTACGCGCGGTCCTTCCTTTCGGGAATCGCCAGTAGTGCGCATTTCATCGGACCCTGGTAAGGCTCGAACCCGCAACTCGACTGTTGCCAGTCCATGGTTGAGATCACTGACCTACCGGGGACGGTAACGACCATCGTGCGGCTCTATATCACATCTAATAACTTATTCACCATGCTCGTTTCCTTCCCGCGTAGCTCAGTGGTCTCAACCACGGACTGACAACAGTCGATTTGCGGGTTCGAGCCCTACCAGGGTCCGATGGAATGCGCACTGCTGACGATTCCTGAAAGGATGAAACGCACGTACAGTGCTTTTCCGGGTGGGTGACGGCTGTCTGAGTGAGTCTAGATGTGATGAAATTTTACCTATAAAATACGATCAGTTTAGAGTTACATCACTTGATTTCTATGAGCAATGTGAAAAAATATGGCACCTTTCTTTGGATTCCACAAATTTATACTAAGTTGGCCAACACGTGCCAGTTATGTGTCAATATTCTTTTATTAGGTATATCAGAGTAGACAGCAAGCCTCATGATTCCTCATTCTATGCACTACAAGTTAAGTGAAAGGGAAAACTTTGCTAACTTAGCTGCCCCAATCACACCACTCGCAGACAATAGCTAGATTTTACCATCTCGAGATTGACGTACATTTGCTCTAACTAAACAATGGCGAACAGTTTGAAGAGTACACCTACTTCTTAAATATGAACACATGTAGTTTGGACCGCAAACAACAATGCCGGAGTTCGCGAGAGGTAAGTGACAGGTAGCTTGAAGATGCTGACATCGGGTAAGCGACCTGCTTTTGAGACGAAACTTCTACAAAACAAGCTTTTGTATCAGAAGTGAAAAGTCTTCCAGTCAATACACTGACAAGCTGCCTATATAACTCTCAGAAATGATGACTTTCCGAGCAGTTTTAAACATATTCCAAGGTATCCACGTTCATATTCTTTACTCTGTTTTGTATACAAAAGCAAAATAACGGCATACTTGGAAGTTTCTAGAAATTTATGAAGTAGTGATTTGTACGGTCTGGTTATCACGGTTACATCAACTCCTATAATTGTCTGCATACATAAAACTTGGGTAAACAAAGCTGGCATCAACTCGTAGCATACCAGTGTACCTGCGGTTGCAAATATTTTAGCCTAAAACACAACACGCCGTCTTTTCTAATTTATGGACCAACGCACTTAACTCGACACTGTACGTTCGCATGCATTCTGCTAGTTAGATAGCTATACATAGGTTCCTAACAATTCCCGCTACATGACTACTATCAATCCTACACTGACCAGGCCACGTCAAATAGTGTCAAAACGACTGCAATCCAATTGCCCAGCTCAGCGAACATCCCAACTGCTGTAGGCTTGACCGCATCGGTAAGCACCAATGCTTGTGAGAATTATGTAGAGTGATGCGTAATAGCTGAAACAACTGCCCATCCACTATGGCTTCCGACATGCGGAAACGGATGTCAATTTGAGCATGCAGTTAATTCAGACGTCTATATGTGTCCGCTTGTTTCATGCCTCTACTTGACAAACTTGATCGGTTTTACTTCCCGTTCATTCCATGCGACGACTTTATATCCATCCGCTTAAATTTTCCCATAAATCCATGCAAGTGGCCAATTGAGAATACTGAACACTGTAATTAGAGAGTGAGAAGATATAAGTCTGTGTTGCTCCGTTGTAGTAGGATCTGGCGTCTACAAGGAATCTTGTCCCTGATCCTGCCCGGTGGCAGTATATTAGAGCTGCACTACATCTAATCAAGGTGTGATACGCTCCCTTTACCTGTAATCCGCAAACTGGGTCTTAAGGAATCTCTTAAATTCCGCCCCACTAGTGTCACCGCCACGACTAGTGTCACCTCGACTAGTGTAATTTCTTCCAATATTTTACCACTGGACGCTCGAACCACATAGGGGAAGAAATACGCTTCAAATCCAGTACCTCCAGTTTGTACCAGTGTCCGCATGTGCCGCTTGGTGCGCGAATGTGCAGCAGCGGAATCAACATGGAGAAGTGGCCCAGTTGCAATATCCGGTGGGTCATTACGAGACCAACTGGAAGCCGATGATATGACGGGGTATACAGACCTAGTCTCCTACCTCGCTTCTCGTACGACACCCGTAAACTGAGGATGAGTCGGATTGCAACATGCTGAACCTATTCCAATCGCTACAACTCACCTACTGTGACCGGACAATAGGCGGATGAGCCGCATTCGAGCACCGGTCTTATCATAGAAGAGAATAGGCGTCTAAGTGCCCAAAGCAAGCGTAGTCCGTTTCCGTACGGTCTGTTCCTGTTATCGACGGACTTCAGATTCCGGCGTGAGATTACACCTAGAAAGGTATCATCGTACGAGAAAGTCTTAGCAATTCGTTCCAGTGCTCGAAAGCAGCGAATTTGGAAAACTTGAATTTGAGACTGTTGAAGCGAGCTCACTGCACATTTGAGCGACGGCTGGTACCACTGTTGGTCAATCCATATCTTTGTCCCCACGTTGCATATACTGTTCACGCTTGGCGTCCGTGATTAAAACGAGATATTCGACTATCCGCTCTCATTTAGGAACTGCGCCTTCGTTTACTCGGTGTGTTCTCCTCAGAATACCGGCGGCTTCGCGGGGATCACGTGCTCACGTACCGAATACTAACTGAAAGCGTTCACCCACGTACATCATTGTTGACCCGAGCCTCTTAAAAACAATGTCGAGGCCATTATCTGAAAATAGTGACGCAACACTCCCATTTGGGTTGAAGAAAATACATTTACTTAGAATCCATTCCCTCTGGAATTCACTACCAACACATGGGGTGAACGCAACAGACATCGCGACATTCGAGAGACCGCTAGCCATTCATCTTAACGTTAAACGCTACACAACAGTGTGATAAAGTGCGATGTCAATACTACTGACGATTCACCGGAAACTTTGGAATATTTTGGATTTTAACTTTATTGTGCATGTACCATCCTGTGGGACTTTTAAAGTTAGGCTTTTTGTAGCAGCATACATTATTGAACTATTGGACTTATTTTAGAATGCTTTTGGGATGAGATTAGGAGAAACAAAATGGATTGCGTTGGCCTTTTCGGGTTGTTGTCTTCTAGGGAGATATCGAAACCGATACAGTGGAAGTCTAGGTCAAAATAAGTTATCGCCTTTCTTTGGACATTTTATGAGAACTGACGGTAAAAGATGCACGTTTTGTTGGGAAAGTTAGCGATCGTTGGTGGCAAGCCTCATTCGATGTGTCAGCGATGTGGGCCACTTTGGTTTTTGGTATCAGCGGTATTTCCATTCTTTACGATATTTATCGATTTACAGTAAGAGCAAGTGATCCGGCAAACGACAGACACATAGTGATAAGGACTTTGCATGTCGTTAAATCTCGGCACAATTTCCATGATAAATAGCTTCGAAATACAATTCTACCTTTTCCCTTATAAGTGTTTCACCTAGCAAAGCCACCATCAGCTCAGCGATGTGGAGGAGAATGGTTCACCGTTCTTATTACCTTCTATTGACCATGTGCCATTATTCCTTGCTACGCATAAACGAGGTCAGTCGATCTTGAAAACATTAGTGAAGGCTAGTTTCGGGGCTGTTGTCCCCCAATACTGCATTCCACAACCTACCGGATTCGTCCTGATTTGGATGAGTCAGGTAGAATTAGCCCGAGCTGAGGGTGGAACCCGATGCATAGTGGTTGATGGCTTGAGTCTTAGTCACTGGGTCTGAGTTCCGACATCAGCGCTTGACACAGCAATTAAAAGATCATTGTTAATCCTTAGGGGTACCCACTGTGGCAGCGCGAATGTCGTGGGTTCCCCCCATCCGGGCCTGTGAAAAATGGCACCTGTTTCTGTTTGGTCGGAGATTTACATTGCGCACGGATCATGCTGCTCTAACTACGCTCCTCAGACGAGGAACCAATGGTCACAGGCCCCTACGGATTAACCGCTGGTATGCGCGGTTACTGAACTATGATTTTCAAATCATCTTCCGTCCTAGCTCCGAGAACCGTATGGCAGATAGCTTATCACGTCTCCCATTGGATGATTCCGACAAGAATGAAGACGACGAAGAAAAAGTCATGATGTCTGCTTTACAATCAAGTGAGCTCTCCTCGGTTACTAAACAAGAGCTTCAAGAAGCTAACCGGAGTGATTCATACGTGCAAGATGTCATTCACTATCTCTCTCAAGGCTGGCCTCGCTACGCGAAGTTGAGTGGTGAACTACGGGCGTTTTATGTTTTACGACATGAGCTAGCGGTCGTTGATGATTGCCTTATGCGAGGGTCGCGATTCGTAGCTCCACAGAAACTGACATCAAAAATTATCCAATGTGGACACGAGGGACATCCGGGTATCGTACGGACGAAGCGCCGACTTCAAGAATACTTTTGGTGGCCAAAAATGAATAAATTGGCAGAGGCGTGTGTCCGGTCTTGCGATGCATGTCAGAAAGCCGACAAGAGCTCCAAACCAATCGATGCCCCCATCCAACCTGTTACTTATCCAATGAAACCTTGGTTGAAGGTGGCGATTGACATCATGGGACCGTTTCCTTCTGCGCCACAGCACCAGAGGAACTGCTTAGTTGCCACGTGCTATTACAGTAAGTGGCCGGAAATCCATTTGTGTGGCGATGTGACCACCTCAACCGTTATACGGTGGCTGAAACATCTGTTTGCTAGATTTGGGTTTCCTGAGGAAATTGTGACAGACAACGGACCACAATTCACGAACTATGAGTTTAAACGTTTCTTACAACTTCGTGATGTGAAGCACGTACATACTGTCCCGTACAATCCAGCTGCCAACGGTATGGTTGAGCGCACTAATCGCACGCTAAAGGAAACTATACAGACAGCACGTTTGTCCGGCAGGCAGTGGGAAGATGCCGTCTTGTAGGCTCTGTTTACTCACCGAACATCGCACCACAGAGCGACTGATCGCACGCCAGGGGAGCTGATGTTTGGCAGGAAGTTGCGTACGAAAGTAAACGCAGCTATTTCGGCTGCAGAAAACAACGACCCCTCACCAACTGGAACGTCGTCGGGGTTATCAGTCATCCTACGAAAAACAGGCCACATCGCTGCGTCCTGGAACGTTGGTCAGGATAAAGGAGAGGCAAACACGGAAAGGAGAACCGGCACTGACGAGACCCATCAGAATTACTCGTGCGCTAGGGCCAGGAACTTATGAGTTAGCAGACGGCCGACGAGTCAACGCCAGACAGCTATATTCAGCACTTCAAGCGAAGCAGTGTCCTGGAGCGAGGGCCACCGCAGTGAACCAACCGCTGAAGAGGAGGAGTAGTGTGGCAGCGCGTACGCGCGGGCCTTACCACGACCGCACTTCGTAGCTTGTGATTGGATGCCCGTCCGTTCGCGATCAATACCAGGGTTGTTTTGAATGTACTGAGTGTATGTACCGTTTGCGTGAATAGAAGTTTGTATTGCGTACCAGTAGAGTTCTGCTCCCTCGTTCGGGGCTTTGGTCGTGCTTGTTCAAGACCCTGCGTGCAGGGGACTAGTGTACGTGTAGACACAACACCAACGATGTACTTTGTTTACGACACTGACCTCATTTGAGACCAGTGTTTGTTTTGAAGCAAACTTTAGCCATTTCCTTCACTGGGACCACATTTGAAGTGGAGAGTTCCGGAACTACATTATCCAAGCGGTCCAGCGTTTTTTTGTTGCACAGCTTGTCATCAGAGCCAAACATTACCTACCGTGAATTTGGGCAATTCCTTCGGTGAGAAAAAAGCTATTTTGGGTTAAAACTGGAGGCGTTGATCCAATCGGATCATTTCGGAGTCACTAGCGCAAGTTGTAACTGTTGTACTTGGAGCTGTCCGGACATAACATGTTTCAGTGTGACCAGATCATTGCTGTCTGCAAAGCACTGCTGATGTCGGGTGGTATCAGCGTGTGCGCAACGAGTATGTGCGTAGGCGATTGGTAATCAGTGCTAAGTAGGCTACTTCTTTAGAACAACAGGTAGTCCTGAATAACTTACCTTGATTCTGGCACGTACTACGGATGATCTGTCACCACTTATTGAAGGGGACATTGTATTGTTTGACATATGTAAATCGGCGCAAGGCTCGAGGTGGGCAAACGTTGACTTGGCAGCGTGAATTGTAGTCTGACAACGAAACAGGTACCGTCGGTCCGTCCAGCCTTCGAGGCTGGAGTCCACTTGACCCAACTCGTGCTGGGGTCGAGAGTTTAAAGGACATGGATGGCAGTCGCGGTTGCTATCTTATCTACTCGAACTGTCTTTACGTTGTGTTTGGTATTGAGTTATCTGCAGGGTAATGGTTGTTAAAGACGCGCGGCAGTGAAGGCCGTAAGAAAGCTATCTCATGGACGCCAGGTTATCTTTGTACGATAGCCAGATGTTTGTGTAGGTAAGTTTTTGACAAGGTGTAGGCATCTTGACCCTAACTAAGGTTTTATGCTAGGTCCCTCTTCTCACCCAGTTATTATTCTTAGCTCCTTCGGTCACCGTAGTTGTACGGCAGAGAAGCATCCCTTCACATAACTGGTGTACTGCTGTCCCCACTGCTGCTGCTGCTGCTACTACTACTACTACTACTGCTGCTGCTACTGCTGCTGCTTTTGCTGCTGCTGCTGCTGGTGAGGATGATAACTTAGTGCAAACAATAACGCGAGAAATCGAAACGGTAGTAAATAGAGAGGTCCGAAATCGGAGCTAACGAATAAGGTTGTTTTCTACAATCATTTACCAGGCTAGTACATTCGCTACTAAGTGAACTAAAACCGACACGTAGGAATTAAATGTCAACGGATCGAAATATCTAGTCGATGGTGTTTCGTATTTGGCCTTGTATATGTCACCCCCGGGAGAGGCGTGATCACCAACGTTAGTCGTAGTGGCCTGCAATCAAGATTAACAGCAATTCTGAACAAGGAATCACATTTGCAATAGCCTCTGCTGTCGACAACGGGCAGCGCTTTATGGAGCGATGTTGTGAACACAAGCCAGCTTAATCTACAGTGGGGTGCTCGCAAGTATCAAGGAGACCGAGGCTGTACACTCGGATGATTGCGCTTGCAAATAATTGCAGGATCGGCCAAATGTCGTATGCTAGAAGCAATGAAAAATTTGGCAGGTTGTGAAAAACGACGGAAGCGAGCCCTGGCAGCATTTTGAACGGTAGCATGTTATTTGAAGAATAAGGGGTAAGGGATTTAGCCTACACCTTTACACGCAACTAACTGGTAATTGGCGTGTGAAACTAGCAGTAACATGGTTAGTTTATGATCTGGTAAGAATTGAAAAAGCTGGTTGAAAAGGGACATTTATTACTCTCTATATTTTATCATCCTATGCAGACAGACTGTCTGCCAACAAAAATTCTCTTTGTAACTGTGGCCCGTATCACTTATGAAAAGCAATATATCGTTTGTTGTTTCCCCACAAATTCGTCGCGGATGAAAGACAAAATTAAGGTTCTAGAATTCAAGGGGAGAACAAGAGAAACATTAAGTCAATCAGTTTACAGTTGACCCTCTCAAAGGTAGACTGGCATGTTTCTATTGCACTGTGGTTAAAAGGAATCTAAAGCGTTCATTGTAAGCCACCCAATCATCCAAATAGATAAACTACCAATGGACATTGTATTTTACAATGTTATTTTGAGCACAGCAGCACACCGTTGGCACCGAAAAACGTTTACGCGTATTGCTTTTCTCTTGGAAGTCTGAATAAAGTGAAAGATCAGGGTTTCAGCAGGAGAAGTTGAGTCTAACAGGAACTCTCTCAACAAAATCTATCAGTTCACGGACTAGCTTGATTAACCTGGGCTTGGTTAGACAGTTGTGTCTTATGGGACCAGTACTTAAAGTTCAGACATGATAGCCGTCGTAGAACCTGACCATTATCTTTTCAAAGATACAAAAACAGGACAAATTTTATCTCAAATGCACTCACCTCTGTTATTCTCCGCTAATCTTTGGAATTGGAAAATCATATTTTTGATGGGTTTTCGAACATCTGCCACTAGAATGCACATTTCGTGGCTGACAAAATTTTTGGCAACCACGGAGAGTACATGCTTTCCAGTTTTCGTGTACGTGTGATTCAGCTTTAATGGTCTTTTCGCTGCACATTGGAGAGGAAAATAAACAGGCATTGATAGTACTTTTAACAGTTAACTACTCGTGGATTTCACGCAAGCCGGTAAATGTGAGAAAACAGTTGGAAAAATGGATGCGATAGCCTTTCTGCACGTGAAAAGTAGGCCAGTGGACTGCGGAAGGCGTCTGGTTTGTAACCCACAGATCACCGGTTCAAATCTGAGTAGGTGCGGGAAGCTGCAAAGCGTCCATGGCCCTCTCGCTGCTGGTGGGGGACGCAGAAATTGAAACATCAGTGCACCGTACTGCTGATACCATCCTTTCTCTTCCATAAGTACGATGTGAAGGTCTAGCGGACTCATGCAAAAGACGTATGAGGAAAATTATCAAGCAGATGGAGTGAAACACTATGTCGAAGCGTTTTACGCACTGGCAACGTTAATCCTACTCTGAGTGGAGTAAATTATTGAAGTTCGCAAAGATGATCTAGCAAAATTAAGTTCCGGCTTCAATTGTGGACTATGAGGGTCATTGAGAAAAGCATTCTTAACAATTGCTGCCACAGTCCAATTTAGATGATCGCTTTTCAGTTTGGGCATTGAGTTTTACGATCGAGGCAAGATGCAGTCGTTTGTCTAGCGCATTCAGCCCTGTCATCGCTGGACAGTAAAATCAAGGCCACACACGTGTTTGCTTCCCCGAATACAGCAACGCTTTCGACTGTGTTGACCGTGTATTATCGTTGCAAGATCTACAGACATCTGATATTCAATCTTCCTAGTCTTCAGGTTAGGTGATCATTTCGCCAAACTTACTCAGGTCACCAGTCTGACGACAAAAACACCTCACCAATTACCACAAAAGCCGGTGTCCTTCAAGGAGCCATTTGGTCACCATTCTTGTTCTCTACTTATGTTTGCTCTACACCTGTCGCAGAAGAAATTATCCTATGAAGATATGCGGATGAGGTTATTATTGGCGTGAATCAGCAAACCTCGGCCTCCTCAGCCAAGCTGCAAAGTTGTTTAGACAAATTTTTGCAAGGGTCAAACTCTCACTGCTTGACGCTGAACCTGTCCAATTGCAATGGCATTATGTTTGCACTTCATAAAGCGTCCCATTACCAAGAACTTGTCACGGAATGTTTGGAGTTACACTGAGCCACGATCTGTCATGGTCACTTCAAGTTAATCAAATATTCACCAAAGTCAGGCGACTTTTGTTGTACGTCTCTCGATTGAGTTCATCTTGTGTATCATACATTTCGCTTCTAAAGTTCAGCACCGTGTGCATCTGCCACACTGGACTTATTATTCACCTGTGATTTTTACAGGCCTACTATGTGAGCATTTCAAGCTACTTGTGACAGATCACGGAAGCACTTGCCCCGCTAAAATGGTATTCCAAAATTAACCATGGCAAAGATAATGGTATCGAGGTATGCAAAATCACGCACTAAACTTGCTTCAAAAATACTGACATTAGCCCATCCGCTTCACACTACACTTTCCGATTGCATATCTACCTCCTCGATCAGACAAAAGTACAGAGAAATAAACGTCCGCAAGAAAACTTATGATTTGTCGGTCATTCCGTATATAAGCAGATTCCTCTTTGGCCAAAACGCTATTATTAAACAGGTGTCCAGTAAACACTGTCAATGAGATCATGTATATTTTTATGGAAACATTTTTGCTCTTTGTTCTAGCTTTTTTTAAACTGCATCTTTGTTATGTCCATAACATGCGTCAAGGCGAAAAATTCAATCGTCGCGGATGCGTAAAAGTGAATTTATAACTTGGCTTGACTTGTTGACATGAAGGATGACTTCACAAGCTGTGCCCAACCATACGCAGATGCTACCTTGCAAGAAATACAAGAAAAGGTTAGCAAAACAATAAGTGAAAATGATATGGAAACAATACAAGCACCAAAAGATGAAGATATCCGACATCTTCTAATGCAAATGAAATCTATTACTTTGAAGAAGTATCCAAGCCTTCTGAGTGGTGTAGCTTGCGCTGAGAGCGCTTTTCAGTTACGTTTGTGATAAGGAAAGAAAAAGGCAAATAGCGATTTTTTTCCTTAAAATAAATTATCTCAAGGAAAAAGTTACTAAGTTTTGAAGTATTATTAAAATGTTCCATTGAATTGTTGTATGGGCAGTCGCCGCAATGACACGGGAGTCGAGGCAACTGTAGCTATCTTTCCGCACCACGCACCAGAGGTCAATTGCGAGCAGCTCCATTTAAGATACCATCGTTTCGTTTTGCTGGCGGTGTTCAACTTTCGAACTCCAAGACCAATAGGTCAACAGGGTGTGCTCGCACGCACATTGGACACACTGGGTATTGAGGTGCATTGTGCGTATGAAACTAGGATAGATGACCCTCACGGGGTTATTGAATTAACTATATCCGGCTTTTCCTCCCGCTATTGGTTGCACGCATCCGGAGACGCTGATGCTGCAACCACTGGACATACTGTGATGGGTATCGTTCTCAGCTCCAAGGCTGAGCCCTCTTTGGTTGATTGCATTCCCGTGAGCAGCCGCCAGAGTGCAGCCTGTTTGGCAACAGCAAGTAAAGCACAACTGAGCGCCGAAATATGGATTCGGAATACTCGCCAAGTGGTTGGCCTATGACACATAATCTCTATTGAGATCAGGGTTCACTTTGTAGTAGTCCTCGGTCAGTACGATCACAAGGACCGTATCGGAATTGCAGGTGGTTAGTGGTTGCTTCCGAAGCCTGACACCCTATGACAGTTTTCGACGTTTTTTGGACTCATCAGGTGGAAATAGCCTGAAATGGATTGGAGATCTTTGGAAGCAGGTTAACGGCTGATGCCTTGATCACCACGCCCACCTGTTCCATCCCAGTTCAGGCTATCTCCATCTGATGAGTCCAACGGAGGAGGAAAGCGGTCATGGGGTTTCCGTTTGGGGAGCAGCACCACCGAAACTCCTCCAATTCGAATACGATCTTTGTGATGGGAATGACCGAAGTCTACTGCAATGTGAACCAAGCTCTCAATAGAGCATGTGTATCGCAATCCAACCGTCTGGTACGTACTCCAAATGCAACTTTGAATTCCCTACCACTGTAACAACCTTTGCGCACTGCTAAACGCTGCTTTTCCCCTGTTCTACTTATGGCCCAACTGAATGCGATTCTAATGCTACCACGAATTGAACCGTTACTTTGCATCTCTAGTAATTCAGATATCATAGTTTTTGCAAGAGATATGAACGCACATGCAAGGCGTCTGAGGTATACAGAAGCTCAGCTATGTGGTAATTATGGGCTTAACTCCGAACGAATTGACAATGACGAGTGTCTGTTGCAGTGGTGTGCAGAGCACCAGTAGCTTCTTATTAGCACTGCTTTAGACAGTGCGCGCCGAAGTGCCTCTTGGCTTCCTCTTGTAGCTGGCCAGCAATTGACCCAAAATGATCACATTGCCACAGATTACACATGGCTTGGTTCTCGAATACGTGCGTCAATTCTGATCATGCATTGGTACGCTGTCTTTTTCCTATCAACTTTACTGAGATGCGCAGCAAGCATCACCCTCAATTGGCAAATGAGAACCTATCTTAGTCCTCACACAGGCAATGCTACCAGGATACACTGCATATCGATATTTTACCGTCTTTTCATTGTGACACTGAGCTTCAGTAGAATAAAATCTGCCACCATGTACAAGGTAGGAGCATTTGCTTGTGGTATTATCAATCGTCACTACACCAGTCTCTGGCTATCAGAGAACTCGGTGAACCAGTTGGGATTCAGAAGAAAACTCCGGCTGCTCTGAGCACAGTGTGACCAAGCGGATTATTCGACGCGAACTGAAGAGGAGTTTGCGTTCTGAGAAGGAAGCGTGGTGAACCAGTCGTGCTTAAGAAATGGAGTATACGGGAGAAGTAGGCAGTAATCGTAAGCACAACTTGTCCCAGAAAACAAGGCCTCAATGAGATACTCCCAGACAGCGCGTGTACCATGATACACGATAAGCAGCGGCGTATGGCTAGTTGGGCAGAGCATATTCGAGATACGTCCACTGGGTCCTTCCTTCTCAGGTGATGCAAGTTGAGCAATGGAACATTTGCTTAGAGGCTGCGTCGGAGGCTGAAAGGCGAAACGGGGTCCCGGCAGTCAATAGTTTTCGTACTGCTGTCCTGAACTGCCTCGTACACGCACCTATCCATGATAGAGATGAAGTCCTTGGCAAAGCGCTGACCTCCGTGCTCGAACAGATCTTGAATGAAGAGTTCATCCCAGCTTACTTGAGTGAATCAGTTATAGCGGCAATATACAAGTAGGGCTGTCATACTGACTGTGTTTAGCACAAAGCTAATAGCCTAACGCTAGTTGTGACAAAATTGCTAGCCTCAATTCTTCTTCGTCGCCTCACGGCGGAACGGGAATCCTAAGTTAGGGAGGAATAAGCAAGTTTCCGCCCAGGAAGGGGTTTAATATAACAGTTATACACGCCGCAACAGGTGCTAGATCAGCGTCACACGTACCGCCGACCGACAATAGCTCTGCTCCGCCATTTCAGGAGTGCATTCGACTCAGTTGCTCAATGCACTCTGTTCGGAATATTTGCGCACAAGTTGTTCCCATAATATGTGAATATTTTACTTGCTCTGCACTCGAACGCGACAGGCCGCTTCAAGGCCTAGGCTGACGTGCCCGACATCTTCCTGACAACGATGGTGTTCGTCAGAGTTACCCAATTTCCCTATTTTTGTTCAACTTCGTCCTGGACTGCATCATGAAGTGTTCCCTTGCAGAATTTTACGATGAGGGGATTTAGAGGCTGCCAGGTGAAAGGCTTGTTGATTTTGGTTATGCGGACGAGAGTTACTTGCTTTTTAACGATGTTGGGAAGGCACAATCAACCCTGGATTACCTCCGTAAGGTGGCATGCGCTAACCTTTAAAGGGAAATGTGTTGTTGCAGGATCCTCAGCCATTGCACGATCCATTGACACTTCAGGGCAAGAAACTCGTGGTAGTTGATCATTTCAGTTACCTTGATAGCTGCATCAGCAAGAGTCACAGCTACGTTTTTGAATGGGCGACTTCTGTGGCGACAGTTTCACTCGGTCCGAAAGTCCGTGTTTACTAGGCCACAATGAGAGCGGACCTGTTCTCAGGAGTGAGAAATAGCCCGTCCGATCGGAATATCTCAAGCGCCCTCAAGTTTCCGAACATCGCTGTCTGTAGAGCACTGTGTTGTCAGTTGGCACCAGCGTGTCAGCAATGATGATGTGCGTAGGCGAGTGCTAGGCATTGATAATCAGTCTAGTTCATTAGATCAAGATATAACACCAATTTGCGTTGGCTTGGACACTTACTACGTATGCCCGGTTACTGCTTCTCGAGGATGGCCATGTTTCGTCTGCCAGATGTAGGGTGGCACAAGGCTCGAGGTAGACACTTGTTGACTTAACGTTGGAAACGTAGTCAGACGGCCAAACTGGGTGCGTCGGTCCGTCTTACCTTTCAGACTGGAGCCATCGTGACTCGCCTTGTGCTTAGCTCGAGACTTTACAGGACATGGCGAGCAGTCAATGCCAAAGGCGGGTATGTTGCCGTCTATTAATCGGACAGCCTGTTTAATGTCTGCTTGGTGCTGAGTTATTAACAGGGTAATGGCTGAATATGACGTAGGGCAGTGAAAGCCGTAATGAAGCTGTATCGATGATGCCGCCTTATCTTTGTACGATAGCCAGTTGTTTGTGACGGTATGTTGTTGACAAGGTGTAGGCATCTTGACACTGAATGTTTGTTTCGGGCACTAAAGTTTCCCGATAGGTTGCTTTTCTGTTCCTCGTATTATGCTTCTTTCCGTAGGTTGTTGTGGTTGCATGGTAGCGAAGCACCAGTTCAAATGGCAGATGTACTGCTATCGCTGATGATGAGAATAATGCTGCTGCTGCTGCTGCTGCTGCTGCTGCTGCTGCTGCTGCTGCTGCTGCTGCTGCTGCTGCTGCTGCTGCTGCTGCTGCTGCTGCTGCTGCTGCTGCTGCTGCTGCTGCTGCTGCTGCTGCTGCTGCTGCTGCTGCTGCTGCTGCTGCTGCTGCTGCTGCTGCTGCTGCTGCTGCTGCTGCTGCTGCTGCTGCTGCTGCTGCTGCTGCTGCTGCTGCTGCTGCTGCTGCTGATAATGATGATGCTGATAATGATGATGATGCTGCTGCTGCTGCTGCTGCTGATGATGATGATGATGAAGCACTGTGTTTACCGCCTTGTAACAGCTTATTTGACATATTCGTAACAGGGGGTAGACGAAAATATGTTCCCTACTATGCTACGCACAATGGGAAAGTATGCGTGCTAGTAATTTTGTATTGAATCTCACTATGTGAGCCAATTTGATCTAGTCCCTTAAGTGAGCAACTTAAGAAAGTTTTACTGTATATCCAATATTGTTGAGGTCCGGATTGTGTGCGAGCTTTTTCTACGTACATCTGCAGAAATGAAAGTAAATAAATAACCCGGTCTTTCAACAATCTTCTTAGAATGCCACAATGCACAGTAGATGAGTTACATACATCAGATGCTTTGTTTAAATGGTAGGAATTCAGCTTTAATCTTTTCTTATCATCAAAATTGCTTCTCGTCCCCCGCCCACAAAGATAAAGACTCGGTTTCGTCAGTACAAGATGTCCGTCAGGACGCTATGATATGTTCTGTGCCTAAACAAGGCTTTGACATGCAGAACCCTGGCGGATAAATACGGTTCTTAATTCTGCATGACATATGGACTATGCAGTAAACCTACACAAAACAATTGTGACTATATGATCATGCCGAACAGGGCATGCCTCGTAAAACTGAGTATATACAGTAGCATTATAATTATGATCAATTTTAGATGTGGTCAAATAAGTATCTACGCTAAGTGCACTACATTAATGCGCCGGTAAATATTAATTTGCTGACACTCCTCTTCCATTCAGACCCACGTTGATGGGGCAGGGTCTTTAACTTGCCCACAACAAAACACATGTGAATCCGGTGTAGCGGGCCTGCATACAACACAGGCACCTGTGTATGAAAACTTGCCTGTGAGATGAAGAACGTACACAAACTTGCAGACTTGATCATATTATCAAATATTTCACTCACGTTCTGGAGTCGCAATAGACACAGGCTTTCCCGGCTCAAAAATTGCTGTTATGGTCACACCTTCACCACCACGTAGGTCCAGTGAAATGATGCTGGCCTCACCGAATTTAACGGGGTTCACGTCGAATTCGCAACCGAAACTGATTATGGGCAAACGTGCCTTGATTTCTGTTGTCAAGCTTTTGTTCTCCATTCTCGTCAATAGGATGGATTTAAGTGTGAAGTCCCCGGGTTTTGTGTACACATGCTTAATCGTTTGCCCCTCAACAAATCGATCTTCATACAGCGCTTCTTCATCACCCCAGTCGATTGACAATTGTGCTAGCACAGCTGCTCCCCCCGATTCCCGTACCAACTGCACTGAGTATGGGCTATTGCATGGGACATATGTTGAGGTCGTCACTAAGCGATAAACACCCAGTGGACCCTGAACATTTACGGTAACCACAACAGTTTCTTTTCTCATCCCGCTGGCTGCCTCAAAGTGTACAGCGTAAACGCCGGCTTGGGTGAACTTGTGTCGAATAGTAAAGGTACCGGGCCACCGTTGTGATGGCTGCAGTTGGTCAGTTGTGAAGTCACTGTAGTTAATGTACAGACGGATGGATGTGCCCTGCGTGAAGGAGATTAGGAACCGAACCTCTTCACTGGGCTTTGGAATCCTGAGAAACAGAAAGAATAAAAACAATGAAGATGAACATTCTTTACGGTGTGGGTTTCTAACAGACCTGATTGTAAAAGTTGCATAGGAAATCGAGCTTGAGTTCAGGGTTCACAAAGCTAACTGTCTCAATTCTGCAGTCTTTTGATTTGGTGCGAATCGTTCTAAACCGAAGGATATCCAACGGTTCCAGCCTTCACTTGCAGATTACTCATACGTTGCTATTGGACTCCCACGAACACGACTTCGGTGAAAGATAAGTTACCAGAAAAGGACCAACTGCTGTTATCTGCCACTTCAAATCTCTCTTCGTAGGCATTCAGTGAAACTTTACATCCCACATACTATATTTGATTCGACGGAAATAACCGAACATGAACAAGCAAACGATTTTGGTTGTTATATTACTAAGGAGTGGTAGGGATTCAGTATGATTAGAAATAGTTCATCACAGTCACTTAGTCAGTAAGAATTGGCTAGTCTGAAAATGTACCAGATACCGGTGTTTAGACCCTCTGGGTCTCATCAGTGGTGCGCCTGCCAGCGGACCTCTGCTGGGCGCTGCACCCATGACTTCCGGATGCCGGGAGCTAGTACCACTTCGCCATGAGTGACAGCTGCGGACCTGCGTGATTGACATTAATGATATAGCTAGGCTCATCTTCCATTGCCATGCCAGTCTATTTTTTGCCTGTTAGCACACGTTTCTTTCTTCGGTCTCTTCTGTATAGATGTGTTTGAATTGTACTATTGTATTCCTACTCCCGTAGGAAGAGAAAACGACTGGTGACAAAAGAGGCGCTAAGCTCTTTCGAGTTAATTTGTGTGAATCGGAGTAAAAGTAAAAAAACCCTCAGAAACATTGTACATAGGAACCTATGCATGAGAACAATTCGCTGTAGCTGCCGCGTAAACCGTCACTAAAGCTGGTGAATCAACCTAATTTAGTAAGAACAGTACCGTACAAGTACCTGCTCCGTCGATGTTGTTAGCGCCCCACATGTGTGAATGCAATGAAACTTAGACAATGTCATTTTCCCTAATAGGCTTAAGCAGTGCTACTCACTGTTTAGCATTGGGTCTAGTTTAAGGTTTGCAATTACGTTTTGCGCTTCCTCGAGCCCATGGATTTATTTAGTTACCAGAAGCAATTCCCCGCTTTTGAAACTACCTCTGAAATGCCTTAACCTGGTAACCAAACACATTACAAGGCTTGTACTAAATCATGGTCACAATCAGAACAACAAAAGGAGCAAGCAAATTTCAGTGTCAACCCAAGTCGTAACAATTTCACGGAAAGAACGAATCCATGAGGCAAGACCATTACAGTGGATCTTAGTCATTTACTAAACAGTACCAGCTTTAGGAAGATGCATGGAAGACAGCTTCCATATCGCCTTAAATGTAACGCGCCGCAGTGAATGACCACCCAACAGCCTTCAATTTTGCATTGCAACCTGGTTGCCTTGGGTAGTCTAGCAGGTATCCGTTATTCAAGGTAACAAAGTTTTGATTAGAAGCAAGTCAACTGAACCAGAGTCTATGTGAGCATCTTATCAGAATTAGACGACACATAAAATAGACAATTGGGTGAGGTTTGGGACTATGGGATGATGGGCTCATATTTACCGCTGTTATGGGACCTCAAGTTCTCCAAATTCTGCACAAGCCAACGTAAGCTACGCCTCGGCTTCGATCCTTTTGACACAGTCGCACGGCACAACTGACGCACGGGCTCACGTGTGATGTTATGTAAACTCACACGGTTAATGCACCCCCGCTATCCCGCGTTATCTGCGTCGACAGTTCTATGTGCAATCTCCACATTTGTCACACCGCCTTACTTAATCGAGGTCGTGCAATCCTACTTTCTTATTATCGCCGGTCATAAATGCACTGTGGGCGATTGCTTTCTCTCTCTATGTAGCGGCGTGGTGAGCGTTTGAATCAAGCGCGTATCGCTTGTTTCAGGGGTAGAATGCGAAGGAACCGCGTAGTGTTCACCGAGTAGGTGACATCTATGCCGTCATAGCAGGCATATATTTGCACACTAGCGAACAAAATGTGTAGGTACCCCACAATACCAAGAGCTCGTCCATTGTTCCTTCATCGACAGAGAAGCTTCCCATAAGCTAGAATTATTGACAACTTCTAGTCAAAAAGAAGGTAACCGGCCTTTCGCTGTTTGCTTTATTCAACTTGTTCAACCTTTTCAAGTGAATTTTCCAATATTTCGTTGATTTCACAATTGTTTCTCAGTGAGTTTAACGGAAATGTTATGAAAAGCACTTACTTGTGGTCTTCACAAAATTAACCTACCTTGATTCAGAAGAATCTAGGTAAACTATATTACACCTCAGTGTTTTACCGTTCGGTTGCATGTAGGATATCACACTGTTGTTAACTTACATGGGGTCAAAAGAAACTGACATTCCTTTCACCGGTTCGTCAAATCTGAAAGTTCCTGAAAGAACCTCGGATCCAAGTGGGTTTGATACATTTAAAATGAAAGGTTTCACTGTAGCCATCTCTTCTTTCATGGGTTCACTAATGATCAAGCGGCTGGCATAATGAACTGTCGTCTTTTTCGTTTGACCGGCAACGGTAAGCTGTGCTTTGAGATCGGATCCAGCAGTGAATGAGAAGTTCATCGACTGGAGCGAAGCGACAGGGAGGCTCTCGGATTGTAGGACCAGACCTGTAAACACCATGAGATTATAACTTCACGGTCTGAAAAAACAGATCTCGGTTGGTTTCGTGTGCTTCACATCTGAACTAATTACGGATTTTAAATGATTAGTCCGTCTCATTTTCTCACACATCTTGGGAGGTAATGCGTGACGCAGCTATACCTGACAGGTGACGCGTTCAATTACTGAATACAACCTACCTGAACCGAGCCGCCATACCTAATTGCTTAATTGTACACTAACCAACGTGATTAACATGAAATGGAGCACAATATCCGAGATGGTTCACACATCTAGTTAACGTGCCAATCGATCATGACGATGCGTTACCTCAGTGTAGTCCATCAGTACGACCCCCGTTTTAACACAAGTTTTACCTCTTACAAGTTGGTTGTCATTTGTGCAATGAAGAAGATCATTAGACTTGCGCATCGGTGATGAGACACAGTGTTTACCTAGTTATGCGTAGATGGGATGTGTACATAAAATAAAAACGAGTGAGCCCTTAACTTCTCAGAGATCCACAGACCCACAGCTCCACTGGTTTCCTTTCACCTCCAAGTCTTCTGTTCTGGAATTAGCTCAAACTATTCTACTGTCTAACAGCCAAAGCAAAAACGCGCGGTTTGCCTTGTCAAGGGTGCATCTTCTGTCGTCCTTCGACAATGGTTCTGGCAGATGGCAGGAGCTGTCCCGGTCAAGTGTGCATGCCTTGGAAAAGTACTTGTTCAAAAACCAGTTATAACACATCAAGTTACCATAATCTCGTGAACCAATCATCAGGACGACACAGTAAGTTCGCCCTTTCCACCTCCATTCATGTCATACTTCTCGATGGCACCCAAATTTTGTCTGATCTTTTTTGCCTACACACAGATCAATCATGTACCCTTGCCGTTACTCATCTGCCGCTGAGGACTGGTTGCCGTAATGTGCTTTTACTAATGGAGTTGAACACAGTGAAACACACCACGCCGGTCGCCATGGTGCCGCAGTGTTATGGCATTTATATCGTAGTTCCAAGTGGAGTGGATAACTGAACAAGGTACGTTGCATGAGAAACGGTGGATTGGGAGTACAGCTGGTGCTGGCTTTTCACCATACGATCATTTTAAATACGTTGCGCTGAAACGGCCAGCTGGTAACTCCCAAAGACCTAGTCTCGGGGGTGGGATACATCTGCAACAGTTGCTTAGACTTGTTCTGCCTTGATGACGCCATAGACTAGTTCACTTTCCTTGCGTTTCTTTTATGCTTTTTTCACAGCAGCGAGTGACTTCACCTCTCCCTTTGATCTTGCTGTTGCGATGTGGGTTAATGCAACAGTGTAACAAGGACGAAGTGACAGGAAAATTGCTAGTTATTGTACTGGATAACGGCCAACCAAGTTCCCATGCAGACGCAGGTATACAGGTCAGGTTTCCGTCACACAAGGCCCCACGCGTTGAGAACGGCTATCCGTCCCATTCATGCGTCGTTTCGTCCTAACATGATGAACCTTTTCTGCCATTTTGACCACGTATCCTCGCTTTTGTAAATCGTGTTCTAACCAGACTTGACTTGTTTTAAAAACCTAGATTTGCTGGATCCCTTTTGTATTACTCTGCCTGGGGGTTACGCAAGAATGTATCAACAAAGGCGTTTCGAACAATACCTCCTTCGTTCTCGTGTACTCAGGCAATAGCTTATAAACGATAAATGATAATCTTTGGCGGCCCATTTTTGGGTTCCTTTCAAAGTTCACTGCCTTTAACCGTTGACTCAGTAGGCTGACTAACAAAGCAGCGGGTCCAAACGAGATTCACTTTGGGTTTCCACTCGAAAACAATAAATCTGTGGTCTAACTCATAAAGCAGCAAGTTAACTGTCAGTTTACCTATGGTAATTGGACTAGGACTTTAAGCTAATTGTTGGATTTACAATGTAGTGCAGAAAAGTACGTGTTAGCAGTATAATTACCGGGAAAACGGCAAGTTGAATATCATGATCATACGCCAGATAACCACACCACAGCCGCCATTTACTGAGACTCCGGCTACCAAGTAAGTGTCTACCCCATGGGGTTAACTGTGTGATGCTCCATTGTTTCAATGAAATTCGCGCCAGGAGTATCGCGATTTTACTCCGGATGACATTATCTGACCCCTGTTCCTACTGACTATTGTGTCATTCGTGTCTACATAGTCTCATTACAACCCCAATGTTAGCAAGGATCACTTCCACACTGTGTGATTTGCCTAGATGTCACACCACATACCGAGTCCAGCCATTCCCCGGTCACACGAGGACATCTCTTCTTGTTATTCGTTTCATCCCATATTTGCTCCGAGACACATTAGACACACCACCCTATGCGTTGTAAAGCGAACCAATCGCGTAGGTTCATCGGTCACATTAAAAGAGCCGTGGGGTCCCGCTCGCCGACTGTGTGGCGTGAACTTGTTGTATTGTGACAACTGTGGAGACTTGCCTTCTTACTGTGCCTTGTTTTAGGAATGAACGGCTGCCGTTGTGGTATGCCCATATTGTACTTTCTTTTCTATTTGTATAGTAGCCTTTTTAATGTATCGGCTATCTTTCATGTTTGGACCCGGAAGTTTTACGCATCACTCGGGACCCAAACGGACTTGTCGCTTACATCAGGAGCTGAGGGAGCTGTTTAAAAGTACATTCAGAGGATTCTTGGGAAAGTTAACACGAATCTGTTAAGATTTGAAATTACTTACACATTTCTTCCTCGTCGTAACATAGATCTATAACGACGACTAATGGTAGGTGTGCATGCCGGGTTCGAAGTTTACCGATCACGAGCTGACTCGCCTGAGGCTTTGATTTGTAAACGGGTGAGTAAGCTTAGTGATCTCCAACTGCCAGCGTTAACCCGTAGTACCCGCGTTCAGCGGCAGTCCAGTTGGGCTTGTGAAGTATAAATCGCTACCTTTCCTGATTAATTTTTAAATGGTGCTGCTAAGGGCTTCATTCTACCATCCAGAGATGATACTGGGCAGGCGCAAAGTGAGCAAAAGCCGCTAACATTCATAGATATCAGTTACTCATATTTTCCACAACACATCGCCTGTCTCATGCCATTCCCAGACAGATCAGGTTACCAGTAGATTATCACATCTCTACAGCCGCGGATCTGCTGAAGCGGCTTATGCTACTACGCGAGCACAGTTCACCGGGTTCGAATAACCTACGAATATAGCCGAACCGGCGCTGTCCCAATGTGATACAGTTTCTAACCCTGTGGAAGCATGGAATAAGTAGTAAAATTTAATGTCATCATGAACGAGCAGCATGGATTCCACCAAAACCGCTCTTGTATGGCGAAACTTTTGTTAGCCCATGCCAACTGGACGTAAACCGTCGATGATGGTGTAGGAGTCGATACCGCCCACCTCAATTTCCCTAAAACATTTGATTACCTAGATTACCGCATCCTTCTTTATGATCTTCGGAGTTATGGGACCGGTGATCTTGCCCTGGAGTGCATCCATTCATTCCTACTCCAAGGACGCTTGCATATGCAGGTTCCTTGCGCTCTGTTCGTCAGGTGGAGGTTCACTGGGGCGTCCCTCAAGACTCGGTACTAGGACTACTGCTATTGCTAGTGTTCATGAACAATCTTGCTGGAGTGCTGATGTCGAACTTTCGACTGCATGTAGACGAGCTCATGATTTGACGGGCAATCAAGCAACTAGACGACCACATAGGACTGGAAGGCGATCGCAACAAGGGTTACAAGTGGTCGGCTCGGAATATGCTAGTATTTAATTCTATCAAGTGTAACATAGTGAGCGTACGCCGTTACAGCAGCTACGAATGTAGTCCAAGAGAACACGTTTGCAGCACGCTTCTCATGAAAGTGACCTTGGGATGCTCGTGCAGGCCGATTGCAGATGCTCAAGAGAGATCAAGAAAGAAGTGGAAGAAGCTAGGCAACACTTGGGCATAGTATCTAGGGCATTTGATCGGTTTGATCCTACCATATTTACGTTAAGGTCCAAGGTTCATGTATGGCCACATGTAGAATACGCCATCCATGTGTGGCTATCTTAGCAAGAAAATGACAGTACTACTCTTGAGAATCCCAACGGAGAGTGGCTTGATATGATAAGAGATTGCTGCGGTTGAGACTAAAGGCTCAGAGTTTTCAGAGTACAATACCTTCTTCTGCGAGGTGATTTCATTTTGGTGTATCAAATCATCAGCAATCCTAACAACCCATACCGACCCTTATTAAAACTCAGGAGAGGTTGCCAGCTGAAGTCAGCCACACACTATAGCCGGTTGGAATGTCGCCGGAAATTCTTCCCATTCGTGCATCCCAGCCGTAGAACTGACTTCCGCGTTCTATCATCTACGTTCTTGCGTTATCCGAATATAAAATTTGGATTGATGTGATTTAACCCAATGTAATGGGATAACGAACGATGGAGCCAAACTATGTATACGTGTGGACTTTGAGGTGACTTTGTCCTGAGGTGTTTTTAATGCTGTATTCGTGGTTTGATCACAAGCTTTTCTTGCGCAAACTTTCAAGCACTTGTATTTTATCTGTAGTGCATCCATTGCTCCACTGAGTTTGTATAGCCTTCCATCACTTGCTTTCCTGATATCGGTGGTTTTTTGAGACTATCCCGGTAAGGCCGTTAGTCGGGAGTACTGTTCGTCTTCTACCTGTGAGTGGGACTCTATTATGCAGTTCGCTAATCATTCCTATAGGAACCGCCGATTTACGGGGCAAATTCGTGCTCCGCATGAACAGCAAGTTCTCGAGCCAGAGGAGCCGTTGTGTTCAGAGTAACGATCAGCACACAAGAGCATTAGGTTTGTAAGAATTTTAGTTTGAACGCAGTGCAGGACCCACTTTAGGTGCGATAGTGTGCCTCGCACATTCGGTGCTTACATTTCTGGACAATAAAAAAGTTCATGAGCATCGGCTTCCGGAACTACGGCAACCATTTCGGTTGTTTTACGCGATCTGCCCGGTTGTGGATTTCAATCTGCAGTTGTTCTGCTACTAAAGGATAATTTCGCCAAACAAACCAAATTTGCCAGATTATTAGGGAGAACTCCTTGTCACTCACCACGAATTCTGGTGTTCTTCAGATAGCCGTTTTGTTCACATTTTTATTTTCCACCAATCCTACTTCAATTCCGGCCGCCGCAGAAACCATCTTGCGGAAGTACGAGGCTGACGTAATGCCGCGCGTCCATCAACTAACCCTAAACACATCGGCCAGATTACAAAGCTTCTTTCATACCCGTACACTTTGGTCGATTTGTCTCTGTACGAAGTTCCACACATCAAGGTGTAAAGATGTTCATTGTTTGAAGCAACTCTCTACCAGAAAATCCTAATACCATGCCTACAACTTCCCATTGATAATGAAGGATTGAAATCCTCCACTTCAGAGAAGTACCTGGGAGTAACACACAGACTTGGCCCTACGTTGTCCATTCAAGTAAGCTTGCAAATATCAACACTGCCCCCAGTTGTCCCGCCTTCGAAGCCGAGGAATTTTATGATCAGTTCTCTACAAGCGTCATCGACCATATTGCTTCTTCTCATTGCATCTTTGCTGGTGATTTCAACAGATTTGTCCACACTTTGTTACAGGGCTTGGGTGGCAAAACGTGGTAAACCCCCGACCTACCAGAGTTGTAGCAAATATAGACCTTATATTTAAAATGCGAATCTGTTTTCTTTGTGTAATCAGGCACCGATTGATCGTTCTGGTTACTCAAATACCAAGTTATCTCCTATCGTGTATAACGAAGTAAATCATAGGGTATTACTCGGTGTAAAGATCCCGGCCTTAACAGAAGACAATGTTCACCTGAGAATATATACCGACTCCAAGAAATGATTTCATCCACAGATTTTAGTATTTTTTAGATAAAGATATATCTAAATACTGTGACCAGTTAACGATCTACGTCAACTTCTTGTTTGATACTTGCTGTCCACTGCAAACCATTTTCATCCGAGCGCATGGGTTTTCAACGCCATACCTAAAACGCTTGCGCAGACTCAAAGAAAAAGCTTTCAAAACGGAAGACGACGATGAGGTGAAGTGGTTTTCTATTACTAGCAAAACTGCGTTGTGTCGTCCCAACCATCTATATGTCCAGACCATACTGGGAAATAGTAGCTGCCGGGATGTCTGGCGTATGCTGAAACTACTTAGTGGTCTCTAACCGAGTGTCAAAACCGGATGTAGACCTGGAAGAACTGGACCGAAACTTCTGTTGCTTCAATGCTAACTCCACCTTCCATGCTTCTTCCCCACGATTGGATCGGCCCACAATCTCCCTACCTGACATTGACAAAAATATAGTGCGCAATAAACTACTACAGCTAAACTCCAACAAAGAAAGTGGTCCGGACAGACTATCACCTCCGCTGTCCTCAAAGTGTGTGTCGATTCCTTGGTCCAGCCTCTTGCTGACCTATACAGCTTGTGCATGAAAGAGTGCAATATTGCAGAGTGCTGGAGAAGTGCCAGTATTATACGAATACCAAAGAAAGGCTCAGCTAAATACCGACCAATTACCTGCACCTCGGTAAATCTGAAGGCATTCAAGAAGATTATTCCCGAAAGAATACCGAACCGGACTCATTCAGATGATCCGCTACAGTTTGCTTATCGTGGTTTAGTCTACTCAAGACACATTAGCCTATCTTGTACGTTCAGGCCTCTCGTCACTAGACAACAAAGTCAAAGCCGTACGCATGTGTTTTCTGGATTACAGTCACGCTTTCGGCAGTGTAAACCGTGAGCTTTGTTCGAGAAACCTGCATGATGTCGGAATACAACTCTCTACTGTCCACCATTTGAGAGACCACTTCACTGGCCGTGTCCAGTTAACTCGACTTGGGGGTAAAAGTTTCTTCATTGCTCACCACAGACTCTGGGGTTCTTCAAGGGTCCATACTATCTCCATACCACTTTTTACCCAGATCGCCCCTTTACCTGCCCCTGCCTGTGCGGTATTACTGAAGTATACAGACGACGTAGTCTTGAGTGTGCAACAACCGACCACAGCCTCATCAACTAAATTACAAGCCTATCTGGATAGCCTTGTATTTTGGTACAGAACTTACTTTTATCGCTAAATGCATCAAAAGGCGATAATGGCATTTTCTCCCTACATAAAGGCCATGATTATCAGCAACTTCTCACAGACTACTCCGAACTTCACACAGATGGCGAGAATTTGCACTCCAAAGTGTCAGTGAAGTACCTGGGTGCAAGCCTCAGTTGTGATCTTTCCTGGTCACTCTATGTTAATGATGTATTTACAAAGGTGAGGAGGCATTCGTTCTATGCTCTTGGTTTGCGATGCGCCTCTGTCCTCCGCCACTTAATGGTGAGATTTGTCACGGCGTGGGTTTTACACTCTTTGGATCTATTGCTCCACAGTGATATTTCTTGATTTTCTAAGGAAGCACTACAGAATCCTATGTATGTCACTGACACAATTATCTCGGTATAGTGGAATTCCCAAGCCAACATTCAGTGAGATTCTTGTGTCCACACACATCAAGTCATGCATAAGGCATGCTTCGAGAATACTTACTAATACAAGTCATCCACTTCATGGTCTACTGTCTGAGTGTGTATCAACATCCTCAACCAGACAAAAATATAGATCCTTTTTTGCGTGCACAAAGGTTTACCATTTTTTCGTTATTCTATATCTGGCACGCTTTTTGTGCGACTAGTGATCAATTATCCTGGAGCTTAAAACCAACTTTGCATAATAGTCATACTGCTGTTTGTGTCACTTATCAATCTATTTGTGTATTTACTGCTTTATTTCTTTTACTATGCTGAAAGCGTATGTGTAACAATTGAATATGCACCCTTATGGGTGCATAAAGCAATTTCTTAAATCGAATTGAATTTTATTAAATTCAGAAGACTCGTTCTATGTTACTCATCTCAGCAATTTCTGTTTACGTTCTTGTACGGTTCTATCTTCTATCGCTTTCTATTTACTACCTTATTAGACTTACTTTGTATGCCCCGTGATCATCCATGACCACTTGAGTCAGGATCTCAATATAAATATCAGGTCAGTGAAGCATCCATCTTGATGTGGTGACATTTCAAGGCCGGAAATAATCGGCATTAGTTTATCCAGTTACGTTGTTTTCTGCAACAAACGTGCATCAGACATAAGTATTGAAGAAGTTGCCTCCTCAATAGGGCTTTGTCGAAGTATATATCAAACTTCTCGACGAGCCAGACACAGCAACTTATACATGCCCGCACAAGGGCATATGGTACGTCAGTTATGACTTGTCTTCGGCGTTCATTGACGGATCAAGATCTAGCCAATCCAGAAATGGTGTATAAATTACTTAGATGATATAAGCTCTGACAAATACTTTTACGAAGAATTGTTTAATACCTAGCCACTTGTGATACTAGATTTCATTAGCGACCCTTGTTCATGGCGTGCGCAGTACAGCTGAATATTCACATTGCATGGGTAGATATAGCACTTTCTTGATTTACAAATGCTCCAATATAATTGCGTGTAGTGATCTGGAGACCTCCTCGTTTATCTGCAGATTGCTGTATAAAAGATAAACTATAGTTTCATCATTTATCTGGAAAACTATGCAGCTCAGTTGTTTGAAGGTTGCTCACGTTTGTTCGAGTCACCACACTCATACGCGCCTTTAAGGGTCGGGAATTGTTGGCTCTGCTCACTGCCAGCCATCAGCTATACACCCACCCACAACTTCCCTGGCTCTACCTCATTCTGGTGCGACTTTTCCTTGCAGCTAGCTTAGAACCCTTTACTAAACGTATATCCAGCTTCTTTTTCTTTGCTCTGTTATCTTTTACAGTTGGCCATTTTCCCGCCTATCAAGTCCATAGAGCGACAAGGAATAATTTGCCTTTCACTTACCATCCACACCACGCAACTACTCGTCCGATAAAACCGGGCCACCTGACTTCACGCTCTTTCATATTTCATTACACCAAGTACCCGTTTGACAATCTCATTGTTCGTTGTCTTTTGACTACCTCAACAGGAGTCACTTATGGCATGAAGTAATTAGTGTTTGGAATACGATAGGGCATCAATTCAACCGGGGGAGGGGTTTATCATAAGTTAAAAGTCCTAAATAGGGAAGGGAGTGTTATGTGGCTTTAACCACATTCAACATTGCAACGAACGTGTACTGCGTTGTAGAAATTGAAAATTTGGTACTTTTACTCAAACTCTCGAGAACTCAAAACATACTCAATAATCAAAAGAAAAACGGGATCTGTAAGTAACCTCTTACCTGCTAACTTAGCTCGGACGAGTTGAGTTGTCGAATGCGTCACTGTGAACAGGCCATTTTCGCATGTCACTGACACGGTGGCGTTCATGGGCGTAGCATGGGTAATAATGTGCGAGATCTCGGGACCAGAATGGGTTGGTTTTCCATTCACTTTCCATTTGCAGATGATGAACGGACTAGCGGTCAAGTCCAAGGTTATCACAGACGGCTTGAATACTTCAGCTTCGGGGGCAATAATCTCGCGAAAAACAAAGGCGCTGCGCACCGTGACAGTTGACGTGCTTACGAAAAAACCGATCGGGTTTGAAATATTAACTGTCACTTTGAAGGATCCTTCTTTGGCATATGTGTGGCGGATATGGCTAGTTTTCGTCTCCCGAGTCGGTGAACCATCGCCAAACGTCCATGTAACCGCATCTGGTTGGCCTTCGGAAGTGAACAAAAACGCAACGTTGTAGAGCGTTAACCGAAATTTGCAACCAAAACGAACTATTGGGGTGCATAGATTTTCTAGGTCGAGGCTGAATATCTGCAAATTTTCTTAACAATTGGTGAGCTGATATGGGCAAGCGTAAGATATCAGTAACGGAATACTTATCATCTGGTATGGAAGAGCCAAAATGGTTCTTCCTGATAACTTCGATCTTGTCGGATAAAAAAGTGTAGCACACACCCAAGTAGCATAAGCGAATACAGCCCAGTCAGTTATTCCGAAGACTCATTCGGTTACTGTTGAGCAGACGGATTTAAATATGATTTTACTTAGTTTATCACACATAGTATACAAGGTACGAGGGTGAGCTGCCAGTCAAGCAAAGCACAAGACGATCGTTCCGCCCTACTGTGGATCGTCAACGGTACGCACTCACTCGGTCCCCTGCTTGGGATCTAACCCATGACAGCTATCGGCTGGCACCCCTAGCCAGCAACCTATGCCACTGAGCCGTGGGGAACGATAGCCGACCATCACAGATTGAAATCTAACTGCGAGATGGCCAAACCCACTCTTAAATTGCTATCTATCACTGGCCAACATAAACGACACAATTATGCACAATGTGACAGCCAACACGGCCTGTCAAATGATTTGATGAGCTCAGAGGGAAAAGTGTGATATCAAACATAAAACTCAAACCTAAAAACGCGATGCAACTGCTTCATTGAGACGAATTTAGAGTAAAAACGAAACAACCCAAGCAGAAACGGCATATGTTGCGCGTGAGGAAACAAACGCTTCAGACCTGAGTCAAATACACAGTATAAGATTATCGCGTTAAAACCGACGTTAGAGCAACTGTGAAACAAAATGGTTAATGGAAATGCCTACACTATATAACGGGTCAACTACTCTTCAACGAACAAGTCAAATATTAACTCAAGAGCGTCGGCCACACGAAGACTCCGCACATTCTGTAAACCCTATTCCATACTTTGACCAACATTCCACAATTCATCTAACAATTCACATTTTACACTGAAGCAAATTTTTAAGAGACCTATAGTGCAATTGGTGGACGTGCGCTATATTCGCACAACCAGTCAGCCGTATGGGGAAAGTAAAAAGATAAGTAAAACTAAGCGACATATAGGTTTATTGTCATAACGTGCAAGATCGCTACGATGGAGGGCACTCAAGAAAAGTTGGCTAAGGATAGAAAAGAAACATTCCGGGAGCATTTTAAGGTAGCATTCCGATCGCGTTCCGGATGTGTGTGAATATATAGACAAATGTATAAATATGCGACAGATGAAGTGCCTAATTTTCCTGGGTATCAAATGAAACCGTACTTTTGCAATATTTTACATGTCGTGGGGGATATCTCCCGGTCGCTACAGACCGTCACTGACAAATTGTCCGTAACAGCTTTAGTCGAACATGTCATCGTCAGTTGAGGAATGCTGAATTGCAATTCTCCCAGCTGCTTTAGCCCTCTTGCTCAGCAATGCTCTTACACTGAGGAGATGCAACACATGCACCCAACCGGGCGTGGTATCACAGACTCCCCATCTAATTTCACTAACTTTTTCTAAGTTTACCATCCATAGTACTTTGCATTAACTCCAATTATTCCATACATTGTGGTATTTCTTCTGACTACGTTAGATATTCGGCTAAGAAATTACTCCATTAGTAAGCTCCGCCCCATGTTCTGTATTCTTATAAATTTCGGTTCTAACTGCTTTGATCTACTGTAACGGGCAACATTTATGTATAGGTTTATGTTTCCACTTCTCTGGGAGGCCCACGAGTGCACCGAGACCGGTTCATGAACTAACGCTGTTACCAGGTGATCTCAGCATGCACACTGTGAACTATTTAAGCAGTCTAGGTCTGAAGTTTATATACAGTGACCAGTGGTTGGATATTCTAGATGGGCACATAATGCTTTAAATATAATTCCGTAGCATTACTATGGTGGCAATCTTGACTAGTTTCGTGAACTGACAAATCATTCGTCCGACTCATTGTATATACAATATCCAGTCTTGCTACCACTAAAATAACAGTTCCGGGACAGCGGCCTTCGCAATCAACCATAATCGGTTCTCATGACCACTAGGAAGAGATGTATGATGAAGTCGGTCTGTTGTCTTTGAAAAATGTGTACCTGAATCTCGCTGCAGGAGATGCTATTGCTGCAAGTTTGAGTGCTTTAACCTCATAAAATTCTTATACTCTGCGCTATCCTGGGACTTTCAGGTGCTAAACACTTAAACGCTAAAATCCGCGGCAATCGGGGTAGTCAACAAATGTGAGAAAACCCGCACTGTCACCCATAAAGCGTATGTTCTGGTTGAAGACTGTTTCTTTTGCACTTTGCCATACGATACACCCAGGATCTTCTCTAAGCCAGTGCACAAACTTTATGCTAATTAAAAGCTAAAAAAAGCCATAGATCGGGAAAACAAAAATGACGTCATTTACTTGGGGTGACTCACCCCGAATTCCGTGCAGCTGTAGTAATGCAGGTGTCATCCGTTCGAACACAGTCGTTTCTAGTCCATCCACTTTGAGCTCCTCAACTACGCGTACCTGGGAGTGTTTCACAATTTCAGCCGTGTTTTCATTCTTTAACCGTAACTCCACTTCCGTGTCGCCGAGCTGATTGAATTTGCCACTTAGTTTGAGCTTTCTGGTCTGGGTAATCCATGCTCCAACCTAGAAATCCATGTTTATACATTAGAGATTAGTGGGATATGATTTCATCGGTTGGAGAAGACCTCATTACAAACTGATCCAATCAAATGTCACTGAATATCCAAAGCTGCACTGATTGGCTGTTTCGTACTTTCGAGAATCATCAGAAGTGAGCATTTCATTCACTTTTTGGATGCCTTAAAACCTTGGCCCAGTGAATTATAAACAAAAGTTATGAACCGCGTTTTACCATGTCAGCTGAAGGTACTATCGAATCGTAAGACTACGCAGCTACTGATAAAATGAGAGGTCATGGTTTTGTTTTCATCACCTAGCTCTTGGGTGGCGAACTGTAGACGAGGATCAAGAAGGGGGAAGTAAAACGGTAAAATTCATGCACCGGGCATCCAGAAAGGTGGCTCGTCGAAGTTCGTCACATCCCAGGCTTTCACTCGCTTACGGGACAGTTCATCGGTACCATAACCAAAACTCGGCAGCAGAAATGAACGGAAACACTTGAGAACCTTCCACAGCTACAGTATTACCGTGCAAACTGGACTGATCCTCTGTGAACCCAGTCCCTGCTAGAACACCCAATCATACGATCATCAACAAAACCTTAGCTGAACAGCGTCTAAATGCCATCTCATACACAACCGGTGCCATAGAGAGCCGTGGCTCTAGAGGCCAACTTTGACCTCTGCAAAGCCATTCATTTGCAAAACGATGAACGGTCAGCCTCGCTGTATCGCATTTGGTCTGTAACTCATGACAGTCTGCTGAGAGCGCACGAAGACTATAGTGTCACAAATCGCTTGCAGCGATAGGTCATGGATTCGGTCCCCAGAGGAGCTAGAGGATGATCAATGTTCACGAGTCCCGATTGGATGAATCGACCATTTAATGGTTTTCCAGATGTACAGGAGTTTGTCTAACCGGGAGTTAAGCGCGACGATAAACTAATAATAATATTAGATAACCCACTGTCAATGTTCCTCCCATTAGCTTTAGATGAACTTGATATACACTAGACAGAGGCGATTGTGGAAACCGGTACCCACTATTTATTGAGCCAAATTTAAATGGTAATCAGTCACGGTAATCCTGGATAAAGAGGGTGACACTAGTCTATGAAACAAAAGCAGTGCTGGTGTACTTCTCACCACGGCGGTTTGAGAGTAACACTAAAGTAATTAAGCACCTTCGACTGCTTCCAAAACTACAGCTATATTGCCAATTGCGTCTTATCCGCAGCCACTCCAAAAAGAGCGTCAGGGCACTGCTACCGGACCTGTCGGGATATGGTTTTGGTTTCCATGAAGGTGTTACTTTGTGATTGCGTATCTATTTTAGAATTGGTTGCGATTCAGTCGTTACCGTGAGTAACTGGTGTACGCATACCTCACACAGTTTACACAAGCAAGTCCCCAACAGACCCTACCTTGAACTAGTCTAACGCTCACAATTTCTGTTGGCTGGGTCGTGCTCCGTTTCACATCTTAAGCTCATTGGTGCTATTATAACTTTGAAGAGCTCTCACACAGTGTTGCTTAGTAACTGATGTTGCGCGTTCACGAAATGTGGGCTACTCGTGAAGCGATTACCTTTTCCATTTTGCTTATGCCATTTTTATCCGCTCTGGTGATTGTGAGCTATAATACCTGTGGCTGGCAATCTACAAGTCACCCATAGTCTGCAGCTGCAGTTGTGGTGTGACAAGCTTCATTCACAGACGTAGCTGGAGACGGATCGCTTGAAACAATGTGGCCACTTTGTTGACGGCCTATGTGAGCCGGCCTGTGCTGAACGGCTGACCTAAGAACCGGTTTGGAAGTCTCGCAGGTAGACAAGATTGAACTTGTTGTGTCGCCGCTGATGCCTTCACCCCACGACCGTTAGAAGAAGTCCAAAGACGAGCCAGAAGGAGACTTGTATACATGAAATCACAGTTGCTTTTATAGTTTGAAGGCAAAATGAAGGAAAGCTACTAAAGTACACTTGAGCCAACCAACTGAAGGAAAAACGTAAAATGCAACGGCGAATGAGCAACCGTGTATGTAAGAGCGAATCGTGTAAGTCCCTAAAAATAGCATCATTGGACTCCAAGCGTAAAGCGAACGACCATTTACAGTGACGGGCACTGGCCAATCAGGATGACGAAATGAAACGTTTAAACAAAAGTCACGAACCAAACGCGAAAAAGGAATGCAGACCCAAAAGTTGAAAACTAGTACAATAATTGTGTGACACTAAATATTCCTTTAACATAACCAAGTAGAACAGTAATGAGAAGAAAAAACCAATAGAATATGTTCTTGCAAACAGCGCTGCTGAGAAAGGCATGACGAGGAGCGTCCGTTAACAATGACGCGGATGTACCAATCGGGCGAACCCATTAGAACGTTTAAACAACAGTCAAGAAACAGAAAATAGGAAGAGTAAAGAATAGCTATCAAGCTCGGTCACAACAAATGAATGTCTAATAGCTGTTCTCCTAATACCTCCCTCTCTTTAAAAAGAACGGGTTACCTGGTGTTCACATAGGTCTTTCGACGCGGATCCACTTGGAGGGGCTGCACGAATCTTCTTGTTCTCTTTGGCATGTGGCGAGCTCCATTTTCCAGGCATTCCACTGGACTAACGTCACCACCTGCAGGAGTACTAGGCTTGTCGGTGTCCAGCAATTCATTGACGTCAAGTCCGTTGGCTTTCGGAACGGCGGCACCATGTGTATAACGTGGTCTCAACTGATTTACGTGGCGTCTCCCCACCTGTGTACCCACTTGAACATCATACATCACGTTGCCTCGGCGCCGCAGAACTCGTCCTGGTATCCATGCGATCTGCCGTCCTCGATTCGCAGCTGCAAACACAAGATCGCCCACTTTAAAAATCCTTTTTCTTGCACCACACCGCCTGTTGTACTGACGCTCCATCACTGAATTCCGTAGTTGTAGAGACGGGCGCTTGGGGGTCAGCAAATCTAGTGTGGTTCTCAACCTTCGACCCATAAGTGCTTCAGCTGGTGATTTGCCATCTGGTGCATTAGGATTCGGGATAACTCTATAGTTCAACAGGAAACGTTCCAATCGTTCGTTCAACGATCCCTCCTCTTTTGACTTCCACAATGCTCGTTTCAGGGTATCCACAAATCTTTCCGCTTTGCCATTAGACTGCGGATGATACGGGGCCGTCCTCACATGCTCGATCCCATTCTGTGCACAAAATGCAGCAAATTGACAGGACGTAAACTGTGCCCCGTTATCTGACACGACTGTTACTGGCAATCCGTGCTGACTGAAGACATGTCTCATCGCAATAATTGTGCTGTTGGCCGACGTGTTTTGCATAGTGATTACCTCCGGCCATTTACTGTAGGCGTCAATAATAACGAGGAAATGCAGTCCTTCGACTGGTCCTGCGAAATCTACGTGTATGCGCGACCAGGGCGATTCAGGGTTTGGCCAAGCTTGTAATGTAGAACGTACCGGTAACTTGGAGGCACTGATGCATCTGGAGCACGATCGGCCAATATCTTCAATCTGGCTATCCATCATGGGCCAAAAAACGTAGCTGCGCGCAAGCGCCTTCATGCGAGCGATTCCTGGATGGCTCTTGTGCAGTTGCCGTAACACGCGTGGCATGAGTATTTCTGGAATGACAATGCGATCTGCAAAAAACAGGCAGGAATCAACTCCAGACAAAGAGTTGCGTCGTGTGAAGAACTGTGTCAATGCTTCTTTCGGGCACTTCTTTGGCCAGCCCCGTCTTGTGTAGGTTAATACCACTTGCAGCAATACATCCTGTTCAGTGGCTTGCTTCACCATTGTGCCAGTGACCCCAGGTTAGGCAGGAGTAAACCATAAACCCTAAGCATACAAGTAATTGTATACCACCTTGTATACTCGAACTGGGAAGAGTAGAAATTGCAATCCAGATCGCCTTGTGACAAACGAAAGTTCCGCTGAACAAAAGGAGCTGGTGTAGCTAACAAAATCCGACACGGGCGTATTGGTGGAGATGTGCTCAGACTGAAGCAACGAAGGACGATTAAGGTAGCATCAGATCTAAGTAAACGTACGTACATCCGTGTTAGTTCAATCGCATCCTACCATGTCAAACTACAAATTATACTCAGCAGGCAATGTAAGCAGATGAACGAAAAAAGGAGGTAATTTATACCGCAGCTGCATCGTTGAACTAGCGACTGGACGAAGAGTAATCTGGTGCACGTCAACGCTTTTCGTTCATCTACAAGTTCAAATCATCACGTGAACAGGATAGGAAGTATTGAAGACTCTCTGTAAACTGGTTTTTGGATAAAGTGTCTCTAACTTGCATTGATACCGCATAACGCCGAGTTAGAAGTTGGGAACTAACTATGGATGTTGGAAAAATGATCGTACCAATGCTAGGTCACATCTGATAAGAAACGGGACATTCGCAGTTAAGAAAGTGGAGTATAGCTAACTGTTAAATAATGCAGAGGAGAGATTCAAGGCTTTATGCACAACAACGACCTCTCTGGTTAATTGTAAATGTAAACCATTCGTAACTTCGAAAAACGGGGCAGTTCATTTTAATTGGGTAAAGTTGTATTCCCTGTACTTCCGAAAACTCCGGTTTTAGTTTTGTTATAAATGAAAGTGGCAACGAAAACTTGTGTTAAATCTACTTGGAAGCGAACTCCTGTGGACTTCAGAAGTGTTGCAACAATATTTGGTCCAGTCTTGAAGGATGACCTGCCACCATCCGGAGGCTCGAAATTAGACGGCTTGGCGCAAGCCACTGGGCTGGGTGAGCTAAACTGCAATCCGAGACGATCACCGACCTGGACAGGCCATCCAACCGGGAGTGAAACAATTTGCCAGCCCGTCTGGATAGGGTTTACAGTCATATTCTGCAAGTTAAACGGGATCGATAGGTAAAATTGAGCCGGTAATTGAATGCGTTGAACTCTATCACATGAAAAAGAGTACATCGAAGATAACTGCTACCAGTTTTGTGGGTTAAGCTTGTGT